CCGTCTTCTGGCGCTACTGGATGTATTACGTTAATCCTGTCACCTACTGGATCCGCGGCTCCCTCGCTGGCACCGTCAGTTCCACCCCGGTCATCTGCAGTCCTCTCGAACTCAGCCATTTCAACCCGCCACCGAACCAGACTTGCCTCGACTACGCGGGCGACTTCGTCTCGAAGATCGCCAAGTCGGGATACCTTGGCAACCCAGATGCGACGTCTGACTGCACATACTGCGCGTTTTCGTCGGGCGAGGAGTATCTTCGCACTCTTAATGTTCAGTCTGATGATAAGTGGAAGTGCATGGGCATTTTCCTTGCCTTCTGCATCATCAACTGGGCACTAGTTTACTTCTTCATCTATACCACTCGTATTCGCGGGTGGGGCTTCGGATTGGGCTTTGTGATCGCTTCGATCTCAAGTGTCATTGGCGCCATTAAGGGCGGTATTATGTCGCTCTTTAAGGGTGGAAAGAAGTCTGAGAAAGCTTAACAACGGGCTTTATCTGCCCATATTTCTTCTTTGAACAATTTGTTGTGGATTTTATGCATTGCTTGCGGATAGATCTTTTTTTTTTGGCGTATGGGGATTTTTTTGAAACGCGGATACCGATATAGAACGGGAAGAAAGCTGGCGTTTTATAAAGTTAATAATAATCAGTGTTCACCAAATAGTATTCGAATAGTATTCGGGGTTTTCCTGAATACTCATACAAAATTATAGTATTCGTCGAATAGCACTCGCTGAATAGTAATAATAGGCAATGAATTGTTTTTGGTTATTTTACAAGAGGAGTATAGTGGCTACTCTCCACCCGAACGCCCTACACCTGCACAAATAGAGCGCCCTTAGAGCTATTTCCAACCGTCTGTTAAAAAGAAAATCACCCTTAAAGGAAGGCCTATAACAACCTCTACGTAGCTCCTAGCTTTAGATATTATTAGTCTATAGATATTACTTATAAATTAAGGCATAACGTAGAGGGGTAAAAGAGGGATTAATCTATTCTACTATATATCCTCTTATCTTAGAACCTTCTTTTTAGCCTTTATACCCTCCCTTATAAGCCTAGGATAAGTCTATTAAAGATATTCTAAAATTTAAACTATAGGTTGCTCTATTATAGCTTCTTAACAACAACTATAGTCCCTAAAGCCTATCTTATATAGTAAGATAGTAGTCCTAGCTATCTAGCTTAATTAACGTAAAAAGCTACACTAGGAGTATAGCTATAATGTAGTAAATATTAAGTTGTTAAAGTTAAAAAGGGGTATTTACATTTAAGTTTAGGTTGTATTAGTTAATTTAAGGAGGTAATTTAAGTTAATTAAGCTCCTCTTAGCTCTCTAGGTCTATAAGACCTAAAGGTTTATAAGTAATACTATATATAGGTAGAAGCTTGTTATTACCCCTAAATAGTAATAATAGGCTATAGTAAGAGTCTTTAAAAGTTAGTAGAGCTAATATATAACTACTATATATAAGGATATAGGGTACTATATTATAAGAAGTTATATATAAGAGTATAAGTTAGATAGGAGTTAGTATAATCCTATAGGTCTACTATAAAGGATATAAAAAAGATAAAGGGGGAACCCTCTATTCCTATTTCTTTAAATACCTAAAACCCCTCTAACTTAGCTAACTCTCTATTTACCTAAGGCTTCTTTATACTATATGCCTAAGGCTTATAGTTATAATTAAACTATAATAGGCCTAAGTCTTAAGGGTGCTATATAATAACTATAACTAACCTAAGTAAGGAGGTATCCTTATACTATAGTAGTTATATATTAGTACATTTTATAATAACGTAGTGTATGGCCTAATGCGCTATATGGCCTAATGTGCTAGTAAATCTAACCCTACTACCTTTAAATTATAACAACTTTTGCAATGCATCCTACTAACCGTTTAAAATCATTACGTTATGAAGCTGATATCTAGGACGCTATCTAGTTACTAAAAGACAGCAGCTTTTCGTCCGTTTATGCTACTACCTACTACTTTAAAGTCTTACGCGATACCCTTCGTTAAAGAATGGCTAGAGGTAACTTATAAGCCTAGGCTTGTAAGATAAATCAGATTCTTTCAAATGTAGAAGAGAAGACTTTAGTATAATAGATTACATGTTATACACGTGCTAGATTACTAATGACACCTTTGCTACTAAAGGAGTTAGCTAAATTGATTTGACGTTAACGCGTTAGACGCGTCTTAGGAAATGAAGCTGTCGTTAACACAACTCCTCTAATTAGCTACGAATAGCTCTATTGCTTTTAGAATTAGCACCTAACAGTTTAGGGTATCTATGCTTGCTAAATGTAAAATGTACGATTTAATAGGGCTTCCTACAAGGTAATTAAGTGCTAGTTTAATGCAGTTGCAGTGCAACTATAGGAACATTTATATAAAGTATAGAACATCTAGAACATAGACGAGTTAGGGTTTAGTGTTAGAGAAAGCTAGACGACATAGGTCCTTATTCTAGCTAACTTAAACTAAAAGCATAAGAGCGTAGTAGGCAAATAAGAGTAGGTAACTAATATTGAATGCATTAATGTAGCTAGCACATCGTTAACGCTAATGATTATCTTTAAAGCTAAAAATCTAAACTCTAGCTAGCTACCTTCTAAAACTCCTTCTAGCTAGCATTTTACAGTTAGTAAGAATAGCTAGACATCTAATGATCTTAGTTTACATTAGTTAATAAAGGTATTTAAGCCTTAAATACGAGAAATAGCAGAGAACTAACGCTAATTGTTAATTATAGATGGCTATAGAAGTTACATACAAGCTAATTTCATTGCATACTATATAGAGAACAGTATTGACTTACTTATAATGCCTCTACATTACTTACATCTTCTTTAATCACTTAACGTTAGAGTGTTCTTAGCATTTAAGCGTGCGTATGCAAGAGAGATAGACGCTATCTCTTAACATAGTTTACACTAGATCCTATGTGCTAAATGGATGCAAATGTTTATCTAGGCTTATAAGAACGCTGTTACGTTAGATAACATTCTTAGTAGATAGAGAGGATTAGGTTTAATGCCTTTAAACCTATAAAAGATACTTAATTAGCTTGCAGCTCAACCTACTCCTATCCTTAAAAAGCTACATACACCACCTAACTAAGACAACCTAGACTTCTCGCTACTTAAGAGCTCACCTCTAGATAGGACTAAGCTATAGGAGTCAAATGTGCTTTTGAATTTAGTGCTTACATAAGTGCTAGGCCTTACATTACCTACAAAGCGATATGTAGACTAGGTTACCCATATAGCTAAAACACAAAATACTAAGCTCCTTATTCTCTGTAAGCAGCTACAAGAGAAAGAAGAATTACTATAGGCACAAAAGGCTTATAAAAGAGGGAAAAGAGTTAGATTAGAAGGCACGTTTGTCTATAGTACACAAGATGTGTTAGATGTTGCGCGAGAGGTAGAGACTAAGCTAGTTGTAAAACGACCCTATAAGCGCCTACGTAAGCGCCTTGTTGAGGAAGTTGAGGAGGAAGAGGATGTAGAGGTACTAGGCAACTCATCGTTAGCATTAGATAACGAGTTGGTTGATTATGTAGCACACAGAACACGATCAAAGAGGGTGGGGTCGGATTTACTAGCGCATTAGGCCATATGGTGCATTAGGCCATACACTACGTTAACTAATTACTAATACTACTTTACCTACTAATCTTTATAGCTTTATGTTCTAGGCTATATATACTAAGAATTTAAATAGTATTTAAGTCTTTAGTAAATACTTACTAAATACCTTAAAAGTTAGCTAAATACTACTTATTACTAAATACTATTTAAAAAGCACAAATACTCTTACTATTTTAGAGAACACTAATAATTATATATATTTATAAAATAAGTCTTTAAAGATAATTATTTAATAGCTTTACATTAGTAGATTCTTAGGCCTATATAGAACTCTTAGGCTATAAAGAAATATAAGTAATATATATCCTTATAATAATGTATAGTTATACTTATACTATACCTTACTAAGCTAAAAAGACTATAATATTATAGCTTAGCTAGAATATACATAATATGCTATATATACTATAATAGTTATATACTAGCACCCTATTATAATAAATAGGCATAATAGTAATAATGTAATTATAAATTTTAAAGTAGTTAGAGTTTAGTCTATTTAGGAGTAGCTATATAATATAGCTAATATAAAAATACTAGAATTTTTAATAGACTTATAAATTTAGAATTAATTAAATTTAAAGTACTAATAGTTTATCTTATTATAAGGTATATCCTATAATATAGGAATATTCTAGCTCTATAGTTAATAGGTTTTTTCTAGCTAGCTTACTTTACTAAGTAAGTAGATTAGCTATATAAATATAGTTCCCTACCTAGCTAATAAGGGCAACCTTAGGGGCTTAAGCTATATATATTTAAACCTTAGCATCCTAAGTAGTAATAAGGCCTAGAAGTAAGTATATAGACTAATAAGTAGACTAGAAGGGGGGGGGGATATAACTATTATAGTATATATAGTATATTATGTGTATTCTAGCTAAGCTAGAATATTATAGTCTTTTTAGATTAGTAAGGTGTAGTATAAGTGTAACTATACATTATTACATTTATAGAGGGCATTAATTTAAAGTATAATAGAACCCCTTAAGCTATAGTATTACTATAAACTCTTATTACTCCTAATACTTATAAGAAGGTCTTATCTAAGCTTTAGAGCCTTATTATAATGTAGGAGATTAATATTAGCCTTATAGCAGCTATGTAGAGCAAATTCATATATAGTTACTATATAGTTTAATAACTTAAATCAAGTAACTACCGATTTTCAGTTAGCGTATAACAACCCGCACGTCCTAAACTTATGTCATTAGCTAAGACGGTATTAATGTTCCTCTAGGCCCGGAGGCGGCCGCACTAGGAACGTGCCTTTTCTATATCACGTGTTATGTCGTGATATTGCACAAACTGAAGCTACAAACATAATGTCCTTACTGTCAACTTCTTCCTCCTTCTATACGTTAGCAGAAGTTAGTCTAGGAACAAAAGAGATGAGATATTGAGATGACGGACATATATGTCTCTGTTCTACGGCGTGGTGCCGACCTAATGCACATAGATTCATCTAAAGTTTGGGATCGAGCGGTAGACGTCGTAGCTGCGAATTGGCATTTGGGATTTACAGCGTTCGGTGGTCCGCCAGTGCACTTCCAAATTGTACGAACGACGGTCTAATGTCCTACGTGGTTGCTGATTTAGTGCAGCTTCACAAGAAATTTGTAGAGAAATACGAGTGGGTAGATGAGCAAATGGTACTGTAAAACCTCCTGTCAAATGCAAAGGAAATTTAACCTAATGGTAACATTGTCAGTTTCAAGAGGTTTTTGCGCTCAGTCAGGCACTCCCAGGCCCAGCAAGTACCAAGATGTTGTTCTGCATAAACTATCTTCGTGGTGGTCTTCTCGCTGGATTTGGTGCATTCTTACTATGGTGGTATGTGCGACCTTATGACTTCCAATCTATATCTCGAAGTAATTCACTTGCTTCATTATATCCTACTAACTGGTAGTTAGTCTTCCCGGGGCCATCGGCATGTATGGTTTATCATTAGGTGTCTCACACATCAGTGATACCCTACCTCTACCCGTCTACGCTCTACTCTCTGGTCTCAACGCAGCCACTGTCGGCATCATCGCTCTCGCCGCCGTTCAGCTTGCGCAAAAAGCTATCACTGATAAAGTTACCCGTGCGCTAGTGTTCCTTGGTGGAGTTGGTGGGATGCTGTACACAGCTTTATGGTTTTTCCCAGTCCTGATGGCTGGGGCGGGAATCGTAACGATTGTTTGGGATTTTCGGTGGCTCCAGCGCATGTATAAGCGGGTATGGAAACCACGGCGGACATTGGATCAGACGACTGGAGAAGGCCCCGAACCGAGACAGCGCTCTAGTGGGGAGATGCCGGAGGATGAAAGGGCTCCTTACACTGAGCCAGACCAAGATGAGAGGTCGATATATCTTCGACGCATGCCGCTTTCTGAGGATCCTAATCTAGTATCGACAGAAGTTGAAGCTTCTCCTGACAGTGATGAGACTACTAGATCACAAGAAGAATCACAGTCTACCGACCGAGTCGTTCCAGCAAGCCTACAAATGAATCTCCTAACTTGGAAAACTGGAGTGTGTGTCATTAGCGCCTTCTTAATGTCCTTTATCACGATCATGGTTATTCGCGGTCTACTGAAAAGTCCACCTAGAGGCGTCTCACTATTCGCAAACCTCTACCTTGCAGGCACGATTATCTTTGGCGGCGGACCTGTAGTTATTCCCCTTCTTCGCGAGTACATTGTGGCCGAAGGTTGGGTCTCCCCACGCGATTTCCTCCTTGGCCTTGCGCTCATCCAGTCTTTTCCCGGCCCAAACTTTAACTTTGCCATCTACCTTGGCTCGCTTGCGACTGCCGGGACACCTCTTCCATCATTTTCAGGGGCCCTGATCGGATTTATTGCGATTTTCACGCCGGGCATCATTATTGTCATAGGAATCATGGGATTATGGAGCGTTCTACGCTCTCATCGCTGGCTGCTGTCTCTGCTACGGGGAATTAATGCTGGGGCTGTTGGATTGGTTTTTACGGCAGTGTATAAATTGTGGCAGATTGGCTACGTAGATGTGGATAATCAGGGTGGGAGTCCCCTTGGAAGAGACCCATGGTGGGTTGCAATAACGGCTACGAGTTTCGTTGGAGGTGCATGGTTCGGGTTGAGTGCACCATTTGCGATTTTGCTTGGGGGTGCGATGGGGATGGCTTGGTATGGAGTTGTGGTGGTCTAGAAAATACGTACTAAGAGAGCACAAGTTTCAGCATGAATTTGCGCCGTACAGCCGCCATAAAGCTGATATTAATCTCCCACATCATAATGAGGCTCTAAAGCTTAGATAAGACCCTCTAAGTATTAGGAGTAATATTATACTTTAAATTAACGCCCTCTGTAAACAGGCGTAACGGTAACAACGTGATCGTAAATTTTAGAGTAGCTAGGGTTTAGTCTATTTAAGAGTAGCTACATACATAGCTAACACAAAAATACTAGAATTTTTAATAGGCTTACAAATTTAGAATTAATTAAATTCAAAGTACTAATAGTTTGTCCCGTCACGGGGTGCGTCCCGTGATGCAGGGATGCACGTTAGGTGACTAAATTATCACACGCCTTAATAGTTTAAGATGACACTCTCTGTGCTCTTATGTCCTTACACATTCCCTACAGCTCACCTAAATAAATTCCCCTCGGCCACAATTATTAGATAGTTTCGACCTTCTCACCATTCGTGGCAGAGGGATCTTTATGGGTCGAGTCATTTTGAGGCGGTATTTCTTCCCTCTCCATCTTCTCCTCTACAAGTCGTGTCACACCGAAGAGGTCGTCCATTCGTTCCAGCGAGATGCCTTTGGTTTCAGGGACGAAGAACCACGTGAAGACGAACATGGCGGCGCAAAAGGAGCCAAATATGAAGTAAGTCCTAAAGAGGTTTCACGTTAGTGTTATGATGCAACAAGGAGATTGCTTCGGGTTTACAGAAATAGTGAGGCATACCCATAACCGTTCGCCCCAACTGTCACCAACATAGTCGGTACGCTTTTGGCAACCACAAAATTGAAGAGCCACTGTGTCGCCGCAGCGATAGCCACATTCATGGATCGCAACCTCGCGGACGGGATCTCAGAAACGTAGATCCAGCAAACGGGTCCCCATCCAACCTCAAAGGACACAGCAAAGAAAAAGATGAAAGTGAGAGCGGCATAGCCAGCAGGGGGGATAGCTTTCCCTGCCTCAGGGGGGTCAAAGCGGACGTAGAAGCCGATGTAAAACATCCAGACGACCATGATCACCGATGTATACAGCAGGGATTTTCGGCGACCAAGCGAATCTGCCATGAAGAGGAGGAAAAAGACGACGCCGAGGACCTTGATGATACCGTAGACACCAGTGGCGAGCAGCCCATTCTTATTACCGGTGATACCGACATTCTCGAATATTTGCGGGGCATAGTAATTAATTGCGTTGGTTCCCGTCATCTGCTGGCAAATCATGAGGCCGATACTGATGAGGACACGCTTTCGGTTTCCAGGGATGGTCCACATTTCCCTTTGGAGGCTCCAGAACGTTTCGCCGCCGACTAGCAGGCGCTCATGCTCGAGTTGTGAGGCCATGTCGTTGAATTCTTCTTGGAGATACGGGTGATCCATTGGGAGCTGTCGGAGTGTTTGGAGGGTGTCCTTGGCCTTTTCCCATTGGTCTTGCTTTGCCAGCCACCGGGGTGACTCGTTGCAGAAGATCATGGTGAAGAAGAGAAGGAATGGGGGGATAGATTGCATTCCGAGAGCCACGCCCCATTGGGCGTCGCCTTTGAGATGAACGAGGCAGCCGTACTGGATATAATGTTAGCTCATCATGTATTTTCATATATGGGGTACGTCCTACGTTGATCCAATAACTTAACATGATGCCAACAACAATAAAGAGTTGGTAGAGCCCCGTCACAGCACCTCGAATGGCACGTGGTGAGTTTTCGGAGATATAAACCGGCGCCATCATCGAAGCTCCCCCGGTCCCCAAGCCAGCAATAAACCGGCCGAAGTAGAGGGCAACGAGGTGCCCGGCAGAAGCAGCCTGGAGTATACATCCAATCAATGCAATAATTGCACACAGGAGCTGTCCGGGCTTTCGGCCAATTCTATCGGCTACATATGATCCAATGAGGGATCCCGCGAAACAACCAGCTTGTAGTGTGGAAACAATATTGGAGCTCAGATTGGCTCTGGCCCCCTTGTCAAGATCCTCGATGCCGTACTTTCTGTTTGAAGATGTTAACATTCGTGGTCAGTTGCCCAGCTAAAGGTGGCCCTCATCTTACATTTTGAACGAGGGCATTGTGAGAACGCCGCCGATGGTGCCTGAGTCCATACCGAACAGGAGGGCACCGAAGCTGGCCTATAGTATGAACATCATTAGATTATCATTTATTTGCCTCTAGAATCTGTCTGGAAAACTCACCGAACAAGCAACAGCATATACTCTCCATCCATAGATCTCATGCGGATCCGTTTTCATCGCATCGTTGCGGATAATCAGCTGGAGGAGCCCCATCGTGGCGACAGCGAGGCACGAATTAACAAAGTGAGGAGATATTATAGGAGACGGAGGATAGAATTTCCCAAGTCTAATGGACGAAGGGATAAATTGGGGAAAGTCACATACATATTATAACTTATAGAGGTAGAGGCGTAGAAGCCGTCTGTCACAATATCAAAGTATCAAAGTACTAGTTATGTACAGTACTATGAGAGGTTGAATCAAGCGTCTCAAGCCTCCGCCAAGTACATTTAGGCAAACCGGAGATACTCTGATCAGGTATATAATCCTTGGAAAATGCAGGGTATTGTGGGGGTGGTGTCAGAATATTACCAGGGTGCTATGCAGCTATTTACGGCACCAAAAAGAGGGTGTTGCTCTCTTTTGGCTGAGAAATCCCTTATAAACAAGAATAAATCCCAGCTACTGTGAATCCTTGCTAAGAGAGCAACAGCTACTCGACAGGGTGTGGGGAAGTTGACGTACGGAAATTTAGACCTCTCTAGTAAATTGCGGGGTCCAACCAGTGAGGTTGCTATTAAACGCGAGCTAATACTCTACAACTTCAAAGTAACGTCAAGTTACAGTACACTCCATACTAATCAGCTTGATCGACAAGAACCACAACAATTATTGGAGGAGAAAATAAAACAGCACCGCGGCTTTATTTTCCCTTCAATCATATTCCATTAGTTGCGAGTACGTCGACTACTTCGTTGTTCGCTAATATTAGAAATAGCTGAGATATTCACATCTCCGAAGCCCTATATGTCTATCTCCGAGGCGCTCTCTGCGCCTACCACTACCCTAAAAATCACCTTTGGTTTACTACAACCCGCTCAAGATTACATCGGCCGCCTTCTCACCAACAATATACGTAGACAACAAAGTGAATGTGCCTGGAATCCTCGGGTAGACCGAGGCGTCGACGACGCGGAGACCTGACACGCCCCGGACGCGGAATTTCGAATCCAACACAGCCATGGGGTCGCCGTCTGCACCGATCGCACACGTACACGAGGCGTGATGTCCCCACGCGGTGTTCTTGATGTACTCTTGGATTTCTTCGGTGGACTTCACTGAAGGTCCTGGTAGGACCTCAGTCAATGGGACAGTCTGGTTTCCGATTGCCCAGCGCGCGATCCGGATAGACTCAGTAATTGTCTCAAGATCGGCTGCATAGTCACCAGAACCTGCGTCGAACTATCAAGGATGATATTAGCAGCTGTATGGGAATGGGATTTAAATTCTTACATAGTTGAAAGAGATCTTGGGGGGGTCTCGGGGGTCGGCTGACGCCAGTTCCACAGTCCCAGCTGTGTTACGTGGATGCGCCTTCAGGAGAGCCCATGTCCAGACGTTTTTTGCGGCCGTAGCATCGACCGCGTATCCAGGATAGTAGCCACGGAAGTTAAGGGGCCCGCCGAAGGCCAACTCATCATAATTACCGTCGGGAGACTGGCTGCTCTTGATGAACATGGCGGCGATGAAGCCGTTGGAGACATATGTCCCCCTGGTGAGCGCAATCTTCCCATTGTGCCATTTCTTGAGGCATGGATCGTTTTCATCGGTGGTGCCAAAGGTACAGCCTTTAAGGACGTCAAAGTCTGTAGGCGTCGTTCCTTGGACTGCCACTTCGTAGTGGTCTTGAAGATTGGCTCCAACGCCCGGGAGATCCTTCACCACAGGGATGCCAATTTTTTTGAGCTCAGCTGCAGGTCCAATGCCACTGAGTTTGAGCAGTTGCGGCGAATTGTAGGTCCCGCCCGAAATGATGACCTCGCGAGACGCGGTTGCAGAGCCCGGTGTTCCAGCAGATGCCTTGCCAGACCTAGGATCAGCACGATAGAGGCTCTGACCGTCGAGGAAGGAGACACCGGTAGCTTTGGGGGGGTTAGAGGTGTCGAAGTTGACTTTAGTCGCGAGGCAGTGGGTGCGGATTTCAAGCTTGTACTTCTTCAAGCCATCCTTGTTGACCGCGTTGTTCACCGAGAGGATGAAGTCACGAACACCGCTTCGTGCGCCATCTTTCGAGGCGGTAGGGACCTGGTAGAGGGCTTGAGTGCTGTCGCGGAGTCGGGAGTCAGCATTTGCATCGCCAGCCAGAAAGGTCGCGAGGTTGAGGATGCTCTCAGTCAGGCCTCCGAGGGCTGTAATGGCACCTTGAATCATGCTTAGAAGCTTGAGGTCTTGAAGCGCGAGAGTTACTGGAGCTAGGTCGACGCCCAACCAGCCACTGTGCCCGTGGCCTGGGCTGAGAAGGCCTTGTAGGTATGCGGCATTTTCCAGTTTGGCAAAATACTTCCGCATGTTGCTGGGAGTCCACGAACCGTCGCCAGTGAGGCTAGCAAGGTACTGGAAGTCGTCCTGATGGGGATAGATGGCCACCATGGCATTGTGGGCGGTGCATCCGCCGAGTGTTGCAGAGCGAGGGTAGAGGACGCCCTTGATCGCGGCGCCGGCGGGGGGTTCCAAGCCAGTGTACTCCTTGCCATCAGGCGTCGTGTAAGTGAGCTTGAAGTCTTTTGCTTGGCGAGTATCGTCTTCGTAATGTCTAACGAAGAAATCCCAGGCCATGGAGGGGTCTTCAGTAGACTTGGCATTGTAGGCGGGGATGGTGTAATTGTCGTTGGTACCTTGGTCATCGCCAGCCTCAATCAGAAGAACACTGCGCCCAGCGAGCGCAAGACGAGCAGCCAAAACGCCACCACCAGCGCCGCTGCCGACGACGATGTACTCATAGGTCGCCGCGCGCCTTTTCAGAGTCAATTATAAGTGCCTAGGATAGGTAAAGCGGGGGAATAACGTACACTGCGACCACTGTCGAGGCTATTAAGCACGTAATACGGCAGAGCTTCATGACTTCAGTTGCTGTAGCTTATTGGAGAAGCCGTAGAAGCCGGAATAGCTTCGCATTTTGCTAATCCTGCCTTTTTGTCTTTTATATGTCGATCGTCGTGGGGAGCTCACATGCTTGGCCTCGGTCGGCCGTCATCTCCACATCTCCACGCATCTTCATCTTTACTTCCTATTCTGTATATTTTACTCCTAATGAAGCTTAATGTCGGAGTTGGTAGAGAGATTACTTCCGCTACCCCACCATAATCAACAACTATAATTCCCTAATTCGGGATGGTTGGAGTTAGGCCTTGCTGTGACGCCGCCAAGATGATTACTGTCCCTTAGAGTCTCAGTGGGATGTCTCCGCACTGTCCAGCTATACCTGTAGTAGTGTCAGTACTCTGTATTAACCATTGAAATATACGGAGTAGTCACTAGAAACATTCCATGAGTTATTATCGTCGTTGTCGTCGTCGGAGGGTTTGACCACGACTAGGCTGTGGTTGGATCACTATCAGAAGCCGATCTCCGCCGATTCCGCCGGTCGCAAGCGGCGTGGACCTTGTTCCTCCCTTCAAACTTAAGCATTTATTCCACATCATTATGGTACGTGCCTACAAGTACCACCGTACAATCCGGCCGCGTTTAAGGCATTCGTCAGCACTCAACAAACTACATCCGCTCCACGCATAATACTACCTCCATCTATATAATTACTATCTCTATATAATATAAACTTGTGAAAATTGCTAGCTACTCCCTGAATGGCTCCGCCGTTGTGGAGCAAGCAGGGCTGCTGGACCTGCCGCCTGCGCAAGAAGAAATGCGACGAAGGCCACCCTCAGTGCTCGACCTGTGAATCGCTATCCATCACATGTCATGGCTATGGATCAAAACCTGACTGGATGGATGGCGGTGACGGTGAAAGAGCAGTGTCGAATGGCATCAAAGAAGTTGTAAAGCAAACATCAAGACGCAAAGCAGCCCAATCTATAAAGCAACGTGACCCAGCCAAGATAGCACCCAAGTCAACTACTTTATCAGAGAGTTCGTCGTCCCCTGCTCCAAGTCAAGATGTAAGTCGATTCTTTCCAGTATTAAGACTCCAAAATAACTTTAATTAGAGACACGAGCCCGCCTTCTCAGCAGATGAGACTGCTCTCCTAATGCACTTCCTGGATCATGTATTCCCACTTCAATACCCCGTGTATAAACCGGCAATACAAGAAGGAGGGCGTGGCTGGCTACTATCCGCTCTGCTTCAAACAAAGTCACTTTATCATGCCGCTCTGGCCCTGAGCGCATACCATTACCAGACAGCCGCATCTGTCATGCTCAGCCAACCATGCCAAATCGCTACGCTGGTCATGCAGGAAAAACACCTTGAAATTTGTATAAAATCACTTAATACGTTTACTCATACGTCCTGTCCAAACGGAGAGTTGAGTATCATGATGACGATCATCCAGCTGTCATTTTTTGAGGTATTATCTCGTCCATACATCATTTTCTTCTCTGACATTTCCAGCTATTTACCAACTACGGCAATGCATGGCAGGCTCATCTGCGTGCAGCAATGAATATGTATCAGCGGAGGAACAGACCTGATTTGGTACCACTTGATCTGTCTAGCGAATCAAAGACGGCATTAAACGACCTTCCACTTCTCGAACGCGAAGCTCTTGTTTCCAACGAAGCAGCGCAATCTAGATTTATTAGTGGGACGCTGATCTGGCTTGATATTATATCGTGCATCACAGCAACAACTACACCACATTTACTACAGAGTCATTCTACCGTTATGGCCCCGGATTCCCAGACCCAACTTGAAGATATTATGGGCTGCAAGAACTGGGTCATGCTTCAAATCGGCCGTATCGCTGCGCTGCACGCAGATAGGCTTCAATCGTTGCGACAGGGACACTTCAATTGTGTGGGGTTTAAGCAGACTATCATCGATATCAACCTAGAGATACAGAGCGGCTTAAATGCCTCTGGACCCGATTCTGTCGCATTATGCAATCCGTCAGCGCTCATTACGCCAGTGTTTGCAAGCATGGCATTGGTTTATCTTCACTTGATTACCCATGGCTTCCAACAACTTGGAGAATTAGACGCAGTCATTTCTAGGGTCATGATAATGCTTCAAACGGAGGTTCCCACGCATCTTCTGCCAGCCGTCGTCGCGCCATTGTATGTTATTGGGTCAGTGGCGAGGCAGGGGGACGAGCAGTTCTTCCGGGACGTCTTTTCATCTCCGCCCCTACTCGATCCCTCACTTAAACAACGGGCGAGGATCTTGCCAGCTCTAGAAGAGGTCTGGAATAAGAGGAGGGCCGACCCTACCTTCCTGTGGGAGAGTAGCCTCGAACCCATTCATGATATCCTACTTATTTAATGGGTGTTCAAAGCCAAACTCTTCCTCGAGATTGCGGAGGGGAACCCACTTCCGAGGGGTAGACACGATGAATGGAACATAGGTGTACAATTACCAATGATTTCAACGAGACTTCTTTCAATTACAAAGAAATCCTCATACTTCGCAAGGGGCAGGCTACAAAACTTTGAACACAGCTCTCTGCGGAAATCCCTTCGATTGGTTGAACGGGCGGTTTACGCCATGATTCGCCATTAGAGCAGCGAACCAAGACTAGCCTACGTTTAAGGCCCGTCTCTAATCTGAGGCTGAATCCCTGAAGAAGGCGATTTAAAATTGTATTCTATGGACGTTGAAAGAAACATGCTTGGCCATTGTTGCGCGCTGCGGTTCTGCTTCTGATTGGCTGTTGGGCGCGGAAGATGGGTTCGGCGCAAGTCGCTGTTATTGGATGCGACTGCGGTGCCACGTCTGGTTGGTTGCTCCGCCGCGCTAATCCTTCGTCGACCTTGGTATATCCATTCTTAGAGTGTTCATCATGTTCTAGCCGGTATGAAAACTCACACATTAGCAAAAATTACTAAATACATCGGAAGTCAAGATAACTCCCGATAAATCCGTCGATAAATCCGTGGTGACAGCTCGCATGGTGCAATCTAAGGAGACAAGCTTGTGTTGCCTGCTTCATAAGCATGATTCTGTACTTGACATATGGTCGCCTTACCAAGGCACATTTACTTCAAAATGCTATATATGATCCGTCCCACAGCGAAAACTTCAAAGCAGCAGCCTCATCCTTCTTCTTTGTCAGTTACTCATACGAAAAAAACCTCCTATCATCATGAAAAATATCGTCATTCTCGGTGGCTCCTACGCTGGAGTCAGCACAGCTCATCGGATCCTTAAGCAAGCTACGAACACTACACCCTTCAAGATCACTCTTATTTCTCCGAATACAGATTTCTACTGGAATATTGCGTCACCTCGAGGCATAATCCCAGGTCAGATCGAGGATGACAAGCTTTTCCAGCCGATCAGTGCTGGCTTCGACCAATATCCCGCTGGTCAATTTGAGTTTGTTGTTGGATATGCCGAATCGCTCGACGTCGACGCCAAAAAAGTGAGGGTTTCCAATAATATAATTCTCGACTACGATCTTCTTATTCTTGCTACTGGGACCAATGACAGGGAAGGCATGCCGTTTAAAGGAGTGGGATCGACACAAGCTACGAAGGACGCACTGCATGGCTTCCAAGCAAAGGTAGCAAAGGCGGAGACAATTGTTGTTTGTGGTGCTGGTGTGACAGGTGTTGAGGTTGCTGGTGAACTAGCGTTCGAGTACGGACAAACGAAGAAGATTATTCTGGTAAGCATTTAGTTGAGAACCTGAAGGCATCTTCCCCTGTTAACACTACTCGCAGCTAGGCAGTGGATCAACAGTTCTCGAGGGCAGCCCAGCAAGTGTATCGAAGATATCTACGAACTCGCTTGAGAAGTTGAACGTCGACATTAGGCTACAAACGAAAATGACGAGCTCGATCCAAAAGCCAGATGGTCGGCTAGAACTCGTCCTTTCGAGCGGAGAGAGACTGTCCACAGACTTGACCATTCCAACCTTTGGTTTGGTCCCGAACACTTCATACGTCCCAGAAAAGTTCCTCAATACCCAGGGATACGTTGTGGTCGATGAGTATCTCAAAGTTAAGAATGCCAAGTCAGTGTGGGCCATCGGCGATGTCTGTGATACGGAGTACTCGCAGTTTCTGTCCTGTGACAGGCAATCGACCTATGTGGCTAAAGCCATTTCATCCATCCTCAGCGATGCCAAGATACCGCCCCCATACCAACCATTCACAAGCAGTACGTTAATTGAGTGTCAAATCAGAGCTTCAGCTAATGTTGTTTAGAATTTATGGGCTTTCAGATCGGGAAGACATCGGGAACCGGCCATTTTGGGTGGTTTAGAATTCCAAGCTTTGTAGTAGTATACCTTCGAAAGACGCTGTTTGTCGAGAGATTGCTCACTACGGTTAATGGGTCTCAATTTTAATTAGTTATTTGATGCAGTTATTTGATGATATGTGAAAGGAAAGGGGCTAGAGATTAATTAGACTAGGAATATAGTATTTTTTCTTAAAAAAAAACAAAAAATGTCAAAAAGGTAAACGACCCTCATCGGACTCGAACCGACAACCTCAGTCTTAGGAGGACCACGCGCTACCATTGCGCCAAAGGGCCTGTTTCAATTAGAGGGATGGGAGTAACTATGAGAGCTGAAATGTTGATACTATTATGATAACTCCAGATTAACGTACAGTATTTCTACAACTATATATCGCGATTGAGGACTACGAGTGGAAGTCCCTGCGGGAAACCAGAATTGAGGTGTGCGGGTGCTTAGTATGGGTTCTATTCCCTACTGTTGTTCTAAAATTATAGTTTAATAAGCTTATTCCTTAGCCACTATGGCGTGAGAAGGTGACATGGGCGAGTATCCAGAAATATATGAGGCTTAAATCTTTATTTCGTTGCCGCGATCTTTTTGGGCGGGTAATTTACTGAATCTTGTGTCAATCAAAACAAAACTAATGCATCTAAGGTAGATAACCAGCTATAAATTACAGCCTTTTATTAATAGAGGACAACAAGAGTTTAATTCTTTTGATTCTCAACAGCCACAATCATGACGCTGTGCATGATATGCATTTTCCTAACCTAAAGTTTGAAATCTAAACCTTGTGGAAGACACCGCTAAGATAATCCATAGCACCCAATGGCACACCAAGGCTCCTCAAAATGCAGTATGCCGTCGAGAAATGGAAGTGAAAGTTCGGGATGGCATATTCGCTGAGATACGCCTGCCCGCTCTCAAACCTGAAGTTGCCCATCTTCGTCTCCATGATAATAGGCTCCTCGACGGCCTTCTTGGCATCGATCTTCGCCGGGTCCACGGATTGGAGGATCTCGATCGTCTTGGCAATTCGGGCGCGGAGCTCGGGGAAGGTTGCCTCGTTGTCCTCTAGGACAATATTCTCAATTCCGAAGGCGCGAACGCAGAGGAACTTAGCGGTGTTGGACATGGACTGGATCTGGTAAGGAAGGCTATTTCGAGTTGTAAGATTAGGCACAATCCAGGCATGGCACAGGAATTTACGAAACGGAATGACAGCTAGACTTACGGCCTCATGTCATCTCTCAGGCGAGCAGTGAGGAGCTCCTCGTGAGCAATGCCCTTCTCGTCTGCATAGGCGATGGACTTGTCGAGGACTACAGAGACGTTGTTGAGGTACTTGATTAGCACCGGGATGGATTGATCGTAGAGGGAAGTCATGGTGAATATTGGTGGGCTGATGTCGTTATAAAAAGTTCAATTTTCTGGTAATTATTCTCGTGGCTTGAGGAATAGATATGTCTCTGGCTTCACTTTGGGGCGGGCATCTGTCCATAATATACACCACTAGTGCTGACCGGCCAAACACAACATATCAACTAAACTCCAACCAACTCCGTCACCACCGGGTTTTACGAAAGTGAGATCGGTCAATACCCTCCGTTCCTGACAAAGCAAGCTCCATCTACCCCGCTACCCGCCGCCATAGGGCAAAGATACGAGCGGGAAGATCAAAATTTGTAATCGCAGGGCCGCGGTACCCCACACTTTTGTCCCCTCCTTGGTTGATAATAGCAATTGCCAAGCTTCCTTAAAACATACCTGTGCTGACTTCGAGAGTTATAACTGGTGTAAAGCCAACGGGTAACAATTGAGAGTCGGCGATTGGCAAGTTGCAGCTTTAGGGCTGATGGTACGTGTTCAAAAAAAGCCGTTGATCGTTTAACGAAAACTTTCATTCGTCCCCAATCCCCTCCATTTCATAACCAGATATAAAACAAAGCAGTCTACACCATAATACACAAATCCCCCAACGCCAACCCCGAAAACCAGACATATCCCAGATCATAAACCCATCCAATATCCTACCCCCCTGCCCATCCGTAAATTCCACACCACCCCATCAAATCGCCAATTAACCCCTCCGCAAACCCTGTTCGCTCACTTCCTCGAAACACTACTCCCGATACTACTCGAGATATCACTAATCTTATCCTTAACACTCCCAAATCCAAACTTCGACCAAAACCCACCCCCCCTAGCCTTAGAGCTAAGCACCGTGCTCCCCGCCGCCGAGCTACCCCCCCACCTATAGCTCCCGCTCTCCCACTTCGCCTTCCCGTCAATAAGCATACCCACCAGCTCAATGATGCGGAACGTCGTGCTGCCCACCGCGCGGAACAGCGCGATAGCCGCTACAGACCAAAGCAGAAACTTTAGGTACGAGTTGCTCCCGATGTTCTTGCCCTGGTACGCCTCCGACACCGCCATGGCCAGGATGGCATTCGCCACCATCCACGAGACGACCATGTACGTGCGCACGGCGCGGTAGTAGTCCTCCTGTGCGGTCTCCTCCGAGGGTCCGACCTCGGGAACCTCGATGCGATCGCGGAGGTTGCGCAGGGCCTCGTCGTAGCCAGAGTCGATGTCGAGCTGCTCGCTAGGCATGTCGAGTTCGACGGTAGATCCTTTGTGTTTGGAGACGGCTGTGCCGAGGTCGGTGCGGACGGTGTTGTCACCCTTGGTTCCCCAGGAGATGTCGTGGGTGTTGCAGAAAGCGTAGATCTGGAGGGTGCAGATGTAGCTGGGCAGGAGGGCGAAGTACTGCGCGGCGGAGGTGAACATGTGCCATGGGTCAAGGTAGAGGAAGGAGGAGAAGAAGTACAGCCCGAGCGTCGAGGCGATGGACACGGCGACGTTGGTGAAGATGTTGTTCCCGAGAGTTATGGTGTTGCTGGTGAACTGCCTTACGACGATGTAGATCGTCGCAAAGGTGGTGTATACCATGATAATTGCGTAGATGACCATACTGGAAAGGTACAGCTTTTTCGCGCCCTGCGGCCGGTTGCCCATGGAGAGGATGAATTGTGTGCAGATGAGCAGCACGCAGACATATTTCAGGATGTAGAAGATGTACTTCCCAATGTTATGGCCAAATGGATCGATTTTGGGATCCGCGAGCGAGCCAGCAACAAAGTAGAAGGTGAGGTAGAAGTTCGCCAGGGAGAAGAAAGTGAAGAGCAGACTGAGCAGCTGGTACACGAATTCAATGTGGAGGAGGATCTTCCGTGCGATGGTGTGGTCTGTGTTCCAGATCTGCTTGAAATGCACCAGAGAGTAGACGGCAGCGAAGAAGGCTCCATTGAGCCAACGACGACGCTGCGAGACAAACTCAGGGACAGTGTCTGAGGATTTATTAGCCATATGTCCGGCGGGAGGGATAGAGAAAACTTACCAGGCACATCAGTCTCTCCCTTACAGTTCTTCACATACTTCAACACCCATCTCTCATCTCGTTTCGCGACAAGCTCCCAGCACAGAATACGATCCTCGGCAAGATACATATTGGCCGTAAACACATCGGCATTCTGGCCATGCAGAGTCTCACCCTTGAAGTACTGACTCAGCGGGCCGTGACCAGTATGATCATTTTGCAGAGCGTGGTAACGATACGCACTGAGAGCACCAGGCAGGACAGTAATGTATCCAAACACCGACTCTAGCGGCTTATCCAAGATATTAGACATCTTGTACTCAAAATTCTGCGACGCAACCAGCGGGTTCAGTAATCCGAGCCAGCCCTTCCCCTTCATTGCCACAATCTCACCACAAGCACCTGCGACGTTCGAGTCGGTGTCAAAGGCCTTCCACAGATGGTATAGCGAGTTCCCCGTCGGCTTCGTACCCACATCAAGCAGGATGCAGATATTCGGCGTCAGAGCGCGACCAAAGGCATTGAAGAACCAACGATGAGAGTTCAGCTTCTTGGCGTTCTTCTCCTTGAGACAGAAAAGCATCTGCACAGGCACGATTCCCTTCTCCGCACCCTTGAACTTCAGATCCGAGTCCAGCGAGACTTGGGTAGTATACTCGTACACGTGCGCTTGCACCTCCTTCTGGTTGACAAGGTTCTTCGCAATGCCGTCCTGGTACACACCCATCGCCGCGAGCGCATCGAGCGTACGCGGATGGATCTTTTGCCGGCCATCAGAGACGATACACACGACAATCTTCTGCCACCCGTTCTCGCCCCACGTGCGCGACTTAGAGCGCGAGCAGAAATGGGCAATGTTCTTCATCACGGCGTGCATCGTGCGCGTGAAGTTGATCTCGTCCTCGTTGTACATGGTGACACAGATAAAGAGCTCTGTTTCCCTGGCCGTCGAGCCAATGTTCTGGCGCAACTTGTAGCCCTTAGACACGAAGTCATCAGGATCGCAGGTCACGGCTGTGTACCTCATGTGCGTGAACTCAATCTCATCGCGGCGGGGGAGGAAACTGTACAAGATGGTGGGGATCTTGCATTCAAGGATAAGCTCGCCGTTGATGAGGCGCACCTCCTTCTTGGCCATCTGTGCCTGGCGCGCACCTCGGCGCTCCTGTCGCCCATCTGGCGCAGGCCCGTAGTGCTCAAAGTCGGACTTCTCATTATCGTACTCCTCGGTGAATGTCGACTCTGATGTGTAGGACTCGCGAGATTGGGATCGGACATGGTCAGTCCCAAGAGTACTTTGTGGGGCAAAAACATCATCTCCTTCCGTTTCTAACGCGATTGAAACAGTCGCGTCGTCTGCGAATGTGGAGCTCCGCGCACCAGCACCTGGTCCAGAGAAGAGTGGTGCGGGGGGGAGTGGTCTCCTCGGGCTTCCGCCGTATCTCGACGAAGGTGTGCCTGGTCTTGGAGAGCCGTTCACATCCGCCGGCTCATACTGAGCTATGGACGGAGGCCTGCCTCTCTCAGACGCTGTTTGGGATGGAGTCCACGACCGCGTCGGCGACTGTCTCCCGGTGTATGGGTCGTATGAGCTCTCCGGTGGTAATATTGGCGCTCCATCAACGATGGAATTAGAGCGCGAGCTCGTCGACATGACGGTAGGCTGGTATGATCTGCGCGGGGTATTGGGACTATAGACAGGTAAGCTTTCATTCTTCTTCTCACCGTTAGCAGCCAGATGGGCTTTGACTTGGCTCCGCAGCGACTTCCTGCGCGAGGGTCCATCAGGGAGTCTGGGGAGGAGGTTCACGAAGTGATCATCTTGTGGAGGCTTCGGCGGCGCTTGCTTGGTCACCGCAGCTGGCAACTTGCCGCTCGAGATAGCTTCTTCTTCGCCACGGAGGGCAGAAATGTGTTCTGGCGTGGAGAACTGCACAGACTTCTTGTGCACCGCGAGAGGACGGGGTAGTAAATCAGGATCCTGTACATACATGCGCGCGTTCGAGGAATTGGAGTCGTCCATTGATGTCAACAGGCGGATGGCGGACGCATCGTTCGACATGTGTGTTGGTGTTGAACTCTCATCATCACCGTATGATGGAGGATCGAAGTTTGGAGGTGTATTTGGGCGATACATTGTGCTTTGTGGTTTGTTGTAGCGGCGGATATGCGGAGTGCCTCGTCAGAGGGAATGTTGTGTTTATGAAGCCCACATGCGTTCAGCGCAAACTATGCGAGTGATGGTGGTCTTCTTGGATGATGGTGAAATATAATGCTACTCAATAGTAGATCAAATCAAGAATTCGCAAAGAGAATGTGTACTTTTGATATGAAGTTGTAATATCAATGGGTGTAGTTAGTGTCCTGATGGTTCCCGCGGTCCGGCGTTGATAAACCAAGCTCCAACATCGGTAAACGTTGCCTGGTTGACCTAGCAACGCCTTGCTCACGAAACAAACGATCAGCACCACAAGCCACGAAAATACGCGCCCATCAATGGGTCTCACATAAAATACACTAGATGAAAGACATTGGATCCAGTTTAATTACACTTGCATATATATCACAAAGATAGCCGTGAGTTGCAACTTCATGTACATACAAGTCTTAAATTTAGGTAGAAGGAAACTATTCTTAAATTACTACGGCCTGTTTCTTCAAGAGTTCGGTCGACAACAGAGGTACGGCTGGACAATTGAAAGATAATTTTTCATTCCTCGTAGGACAGGGCACGACACGGCAGGTATGTAATTGGCAACGTGCCGTCCTTGCCCCCTCTTCTACCCGGTCTCAATTCTACCTCCTCAAACTCCGCAAGGTACAAAAATCCCCCATCGTTTCCCTCACCCGAAGAAGGTTGGCGAGAGAACTTTGGTGATGCAGGAGAGAATATTGGCGGGTACCAACCGCCCACTGTGACGACGAAGGAAAAGGATGCCGGTGTGACGATCAGCTGTCATGTAGTATGTTACAAGGGCTCAAGATCAGGCGCTCAGATGGGTATCGTATGTCGCGGCATGAGATTTGGTTGAAATGGTTGTCGGAATTATGTTCAGTTCCAGCCCAGGGAGTTCTCTGCCATCATTGGTCCGGAGATTTGGGCGGTCCTGGCAGAGTTTCCGGCGCTTCTTCCGCTGCCTCTGCTGTGTCTGTCGGCTGATGCATCGGAGCTCGATTCGCCAGAGCCAGTCGATTGACGTCCGCCAGACATGTAGACACCACCGGGGAGGGCCGGGCTGCCACCGGTAGCTTCCATCATCTCGCCGGGGTTCATGAGAGACCTCGTGCGGCGGTGGGAAAGCTTGCGTCTCTTGTAGCGGCGGGCAATGAAGAACATGGCCGCACCGTACGCAGCAGCTGCAACGACGGCACCAGTTGCGATTCCGGCAGTCATACCCTTGGCGCCCGGTGTCTGGTTGTTCTGGTTGGTGTCGAAGATTCCACCATTTTCAGTACCACTATCGTTACCGCCTGGGGTGGGAGACGATCCAGCACCACCAGCAGGGACTGCAGGGTCGGATCCATCGAGGCCAGAGCCAACGGTGATGGGAATGGAAGGGTTGATGCTGCTCATGATAACGGCAACAGGCTCAGACGGGTTCTTGTAGAGGCGAGACACCGGGACGTGGATCATGATGTCGAGGTTGGACACCACCTTGGTAGGGATGTATGCAAGAGCAAGCGTGGTGATATATCCGAGACTCCTGGAAGTGTCGTAAGGCTGCAGGCTGTGCATGATGACGTCCGACTCCTTAATCTCCAGTCCGTATGCGATACCCTTGGGAAGATATGAGAAGATCTGGGCAGACGACATGGAATTGGCAACGACGAATTCGTAGTTCAGCGCGTACGTGAACCCGACCTGGATCAGAGTGTATCCCACCTTTGCGGTTGGCACGCCGGTAAGAGGCGCGACTACCTGAGGCAAGGTGCTTGGGATTCCGCTGGGAATGGCCGTGGTGGTGGTTGGCTTTGGGCCGGTCGGAGTCGTCTGGATCAGGATGGATGATCCAACCCAGTCAGATGTAGTTGGAACACCCTCAGTAGTAGCAGTGGTGGTCGGGGCGGCTGGGGTGGTCGTCGGGATATCCGTCAGCGAAGTAGGCTTCTGGGTGGTCGTGGGTGGGAGCACAATGGCTGTCCCATTGTTGCGAAGCGATGTGGTATCGCCGCCCGTCTCGACAGGTGGAAGACGAATGGTAGTGGAGTTGGTTCCTGATGCTGTTGGGAACGCGGTGGTTGGAACTCCAGTTCCGGTTCCGGGTCCGGCAGTTTCTGAGGAGATGATGCTGGAAATCATGCTCTCCAGACCGGTCGATGATGCTGTCGGGGTTTCCGTGGAAGTGCTTGGCGCGAACGTCGTGGTGGCACCAGTGCCTGTTCCAGTGCCCGTGGGGTCGGGGATAATTCCGCTGAGGAGGGACGACAGGAGACCGCCGTCGGACGAGGTGGAGGGCTCAAGAGTCTGGAAATCAGCGTCGCTGGTTTCAGTCGGAGAGGAAGCTCCTGTTTCTGTGGCAGAGTCTGTCGAGGTTGTTGTTGCCGTTGGCTCGGGGGCGAGGACACCGCTGGAGCCCAAGACACCGCTGGGGGCGGTAATACCATCGGTAGCGGACGAAGGCGAGAGGATCGGATCCAAGATCGAAGACAGGCCCAGGGAAAGGGTTGGGAGGACAATCAACGGTGGCTTCACAGACGAGACGCCCGAAGCCGTAGTGGCAGCGGCACTCGAGGCAGGAGCCTGGGGCAGTGTGGTGGTCATACCATCGTTGACAACGACGGTGTTGGAGATGATGATAGTCTTGACAACCCCAGGTGCAACTCCCTCGACGGAGGTCGGGGGCGCGACGGATGCGACGGGCGCGCCTCCAGTCAAAACGCCGAGGAGGTCGCCAAGGAGGTCGCGCTTTGTGGAGGAGCTCGAGGAATCTTCGACGGAGTTGGACGTGGTGTTGGAGATCTCACGCTTGACTTGTCGCGGGAAGTAGAACTTGGGCCTGTCCTGTGCAATGACGTTCGACGAGAGCAGGGCCACGGCGGCCACAACGATTGTTCTGGCGTGCATGATGGCGGTTTATATATCGATCGATGGCGTAAACGATTTCAAATTGCTAGAAGACTGCGAGGGGAATACGTCGAAAATTGGGCGCTGAAACTAGACGGACGGTCAGCACGGCGACGACAATTCGAGATGCGCTGGTGGTGACGGACAGCTGAAGATAAATCGATTGAAACGAGTGTAGATGACAATAAATGTCAGTAGTGAGTGTATCTGGATGGATGCGTCGTAAGTAACTATCCACACACAAGCACCAGTCATGTAAGGGCTCAAATGAGGCTGGCAAGGGTTATCGCAACCACAGTTTCACGATATTTGCCGACCGGTGGATATATCCTTCGGACTGTGTGTTGTTGACGCTTCCACGAAGACTCATTTGAGCACAGCGACGAGATAAGTTATGGACTCACTTGATAAGGTCAACGAATGGGACCGGATTTCTAAAGGAGTGACAGACGATATAGATCGTCAAAGAGATTCGAGGTGGTGGTTTATGCGACAGGTAGTTGTATTGGCAATGGTTGGATTAATGTCATGAAGCGTGTACCATTATCCACCGGACTCCCTGAGGCCTCGTATCGAGAGAGGTTGAAGGGCGACCGAGATGGAACTCGTCGATGCGGGAGGGTGATGGAGAGAGAGAGAGAGCGACGGTGAGGTGGTGAAGTCGTGAAGAGGGAGGAGGAGGAGAAGAGGAGGAGAAGAAGTGGAAGGGTGGAGGGAGAGGATTGAGTTGACAAGGTACACACGTTGGCGTTTTGGCGTCGATCAATAGAGAGAGGGAGGAGCGAGACCCAAAAACCAAGGCGCGCGAGAGGGAGAGGGAGATTGCTTGGGTGGTTTGTGTACGAGATGGTTGCTGTGGTGTGGGAGTACTTGTGAAGTACCGTTAGGAGAAGACGGGTATGGGTGGGTAGGAGTGTTCTAGTGGGAAGTGGGCGTGTGTAGGTGTGTGTAGGTGGTGTGTAGGTGGTGTGTATGCACATGTACGAGGGTGGAGGAGGGTGGATTGTGTGTGGATTGTGTGCGCGTGGTGGGTGGAGAGGGTGTTGGGAGTACATGAGAAATACCTACGGAGGATGGTAGCAGATAGTAGTAAGGCGGGTGTGGATGGAGGAGGTGGGGGATGGGATGGGATGGGATGGGATGGGGGATATGGATGGGACTGTGAGGGAGGGAGGAAGAAGGGGAGAAGGGAAGGAGGGAAGGGAGGGGACGAGGGAGGGAAGGGGAAGGGAAGAAGGGAACGGGCGGGAAAAGGTACGAGAGAGGGGTACTTGGCGGTAGTAAATGGGATGTACAGTACAAGCGCTACAAACAACGACGCCAAGGGATAAGTGGGATAAGAGAGAGAAAACACACCAACAACTGTGGGTGTGTACGGAGTACAGTACGGAGTACAGTACAGAGGAGAGTACGGAGTAGAGTACGGAGTAGAGTACGGAGTAGAGTACAGAATATAGTCTGGAGAAGGCGTAAGGCGGCGATGGGCAGTATTTTTGCAAGTCGTAAGAGGGTGGAGGAAAGGCGGATGTCTCTCTTCGGCGGTAAACACGCATAAAAGTACATGCAGAGTGTTTGTCCATTTAGCCAATCACGTGAGCTCTATCTTTGGAAGACTGCACATACTCGCTCACAATACGGCTATGGCTATATTGGCGAATAATAAGGCCAGCAAACGACCAGGGGTGGACAGGGGTGGACAGGGATGGACAGATGTGGACAGGGGTACGGTAAAAGCAGCGAAATGAGGATCTGACGTGTTGATCTCCTAAAGTGCTATTAAGGTACACTTAGTCCCGTGGCTAGTGGTGGTTAGTGGTTAGTGGTGGCTAGTACGCGTAGTGGCCGCCCTACTCAACTTCCCTCCTAACCTAAGCCATCAAGCCCTCAGGGTCCAAAGTTGGCCGTTAAAGAAGCTGGGCGGTGAATTCTACGTGGTCGCTGCAGTAGTGCGCAGTATTCGAAGGGAGAGAGTTTCCTGTTTCCTCGTAGTATCCTTTCTTCTCTTTCTTACCTACACACCACACACAGATGCCACGCACGGCACCACAGACCACACTCGTGCAACAGCCGATCCCGTTGTCGTCGTGTGGTGTGTGGTGTATGTCTTGCGTCTAGTCGCACAGATGGTTTCGATTGCGTATGCTCTCGGTCCATCGCCTGACCACACGACTGTGCTGTGTCTGTCTGTGCCTTACCATCGTCGGTTTCTCTTGGTCTGTCTTTACGGGACTCGTCGTATTGTGGTGTAGTACTGTATCCCGCCTTCACAAACGCCTCGTACGTCGGCGCAACCCCCTGGGGGAACAATACATTGTCAAATTACACGTGCGTCCCATACCAAGCCTGCGTCCTGGAGCCTGCGTCCTGGGTAGTAGGAGAGAAAGTACAGCGCACAAAAGCAAAAGAACAAAAATCCGTACCAGAGACCCATCTCCTCCCCCCCTGTCTCCCTTCTCCGCAAATGGGTCTCCCTCACGGGCCCCACCAGCACCAATCCTATTGCCGCATTCCCGCCACAAACCAATCACCAACCCCGTTGTGGTTTAGTCGAAAGGTACACCAATGGCAACGCGCCATCGAGCCCACTATAGCTTGCCTAGCGTGCCTCGAAAGTGGTCTCTCTACGTGGCACACCCCTGTCCTCATCCCTGTCAATACGGGTAAGCGATATTAAAGGATTGCTTGATCAGGGTCCCCATTCGTTGCCCGCCAGAATAACAATGGTACGAGCGATTTGTACTGTACATGCGTGCAGGGGTATGTGAGTACTCTCTCTCTATTATTGTCGCCGAGCAGGAATGCACTTACCACCACCCATCTCACCTCAGCCATCACCATCAACTCCAAATCCCATATGACTTCTCATCTTATACTACAGAATCCATCTCGTCCCTTCCTTCCCTTCCCGATCCTGATACTCTGGGGTAAAGGTTATTATTCTCCGTACCAAGAAACCCATCATGCCACCTTGACAAGATCCATCTTTCCTCCTCATCTTCATCCTCCACGTCGCACTGCCGAGACAAGACATCATGGTCGAGCACGTGGATTGTTGTCGCTCAACGGTGCCGATCCTCATACAGCTTAATCACCTAATCAACATCTCATTTAAAGAACATGCACGCCAAAGACAGAACCATCACAGCTTCACGCCGGCATAGCAACCAGCGCCCGCCCAGTCTAATCACACCAGTGTATCCGCCCATGGCGGGCAAAATAGTACAAAAGATAACAATCACGCACTCACCGTCATCACCCCCCCATCCCATCCCGACATGACCCCTCACACACATTCCAGTCGTCTGCATCCCATCTCCGTCCCTGACATGTCACCCACCACCAAGGAAGAAGCAAGGGGAACTGCACTGTAACTGCGTTTCCTTCGCCTACGGAATATGTAGAGCACGAACCCCGTGGGTACTGTACCTGCAGTATACCCGGAAATAGCAGCACTTCCCACCTCATCACAGCGGTACTCGTACAGTAGCGGCCAGACCATCTCGTATACCCGAGACAGTGGCGGGCGCCGGCGTTGCAGCGAGCTCTGCGCGAACGAGGGGGGGAAGACTTCGGCGATTTTCAGTATCCCCCAGTGCACACAGGGGACTCCCCAGCGACGCTTGAGAGAAACTGCCCGCCTCATGGTAACCATGCTAACCCTCAACTGTGATGCCCAGCTCCCGTTTGCTCGGACTCGAGGCCGTCTTAGGCACGGAGCCATCTGTTTCGATCCGTTTGAACAACCGAATTGGGCTATTAGAGCGAACGCACCATCGTATCCCAGCTATTTTCGTCCGAGACAGTGCTAGAAAGCCGAGCGCTGCTAGACCAGAGATAAGTTTGCCAGGCCCGGCGCACCAGCGTGGAGCGCGCCATACCCATTACATGGCGGGGTCCGGTCAATCGCTGGGTCGGGTCCTTTCTGAGCCAGTCGCTGCGACTTGGCCTTGGCCTGACAATCGCTCATCACAAATGTGACATCTCCGAAAACCACAAACAGATGGGATGCTCTTCGAGTCTGGATGTTCCAGAGCCATGAGGCTCCATCTCCACCCGGCGATCCGTGTCAGTCTGGCTTGAGTCTGCGATGCCTCATTTCCGCGGTCCAAGGAATTCGTGGCGACAAACTGGCGCCGTTTGTTTGCTAAGGAACTAAGAATGGTCAGTATACTGCGCCTCTTTCCCACTGCTCCCAAATCCCCAGGGAGCTGTCCCCATGCACTGATTCCATCCTGCGGCCTTACCACGGCCGTCATTCTCCACTTACCGCGGCGCATGTTTCCCGTTGTTAATGCCGCCACATCCTGCGCCATTTCAGCCTGCTCTCGTGGAAAATCTGGGGCAGATATCCCCAGTTGCCCTGAACCCAAGCCTCATCACGGCTGAAATGGCTTCTTCCGGGTTGAAATAGATGAACCTCATTAGATGTGCCGTTTCAAACGCCCGTGCCGCACGAGTGCCGACTGACTGGTACTGAAGGCGGGTCCTGGGGTAGTTGTGCATTGTTGCAACTTTGTGAAAGGCCGCCTTATCCTCTTCGAATGGTTGGCTTGTTGGAGCCTTAATACCAAGGCATATTGAAACTTCGATATTGATGAAGTTTCGAACTTGAATGAATCTTTATTTCGGATGTCTAGGAACCCTCAAGTAAAGTTTCTCTTACATAACATCCAAGTAGACGTGACCGATGTTTTAATCCCTATGGATAGGTATCATATTTACTAGATCCTCACATCGACGTTTTGCCATCTTTCGGATTTGGTCATTTCCGTCACGTGATGGCCAAATGGTTATGAAGGCGAGGTTGCAAATAAGAACGAGAGAGAAGATGATTAAATTATATAATTCTACTGCCATATACATAATTTATTCGTATATTTTATTTTATTTTATTCCGTGTCATCAAAATATACGGGTCATGTTGTGTCTATTGTAAATTATATATAATTCAATATTTATTCTATGTGAGAAAAAAAATCACATCAGAACCTTTAGCATTATAAATAGCCATTTCCAAGTAACCATTCAAGTCTAAAAGCTTACACAAAGTTTTATAAAACACTCTAGAGCGAAGTATCAACTATGCTAACTGATTGTGTTTTATTTTATACTAAACTAGTTGGTATGGCGACAGTTTTACAAATCCACGGCCTCACCATAGCCCCAACTTTTCGGCCCTTCGGATTTTAAGGCATTGTGCTGGCCATTGGCTACCCAGCAGACCGGATGCTCCCCTTCGTCACTGAGAGCAACGCCCAACTGCAGTAGGGTATGTCAAGGCGGCAGATATCCAGCTCGTGTCAAGCCCGGCAACACTGACTGGCTGAAGAGCCAGGCTCCCACCCTCGAGAAGCGAGAAGATGGAGTTATACCCCTTGGTAATCCGACGGAAGATTAACACGCCAAACTTGGAGGCTGGTCCTTTGACTCCAAGCCAACGTAGAATCTCCGTGAAGAATACCCCAAGCATAGTTCTTAGTATCACTTGGCGCTGACAGTCACTTCCATTTTATACGATAAAGTGAAAGCCTGGTTCGTAATTTTCTTCCAAATCGGTGCCAGCTTCCAGTAATAATGGTCGGGCGGCATCATTCGGCCGGTTTATCATGACCTGCAGTGGCAACCTCCAAAATCCGATCCTTGAGACCTTCAACAATCGTAACCTGAACACCTGCATCTTCAAGCTTTTTCCTACCTAGATTCTGTCCGATAAACTTTTCTGGTTCCAGAACTCCAACGTAAACCACTTTAATCGCGCCGTTCAGCCTCAGTATCCTCTCCACACACGTCCGGTTTCCACTCAATCTCTCGTTGCAAGGCTCCATCGTCGTGTACAGGACAGTGTTTTTCGGCAGCACTTGACTTATCTCCTCCTCCTGGAGGTTGTGCTGTTGTGCCACCTTCATGAAGCAGCACTGTTCGGCATGTGTATTTCCTGGCAGCTCCTTCGTGTAGCCAGCCGATAATATCTCATTCCTGTCTGAATCGACGAGGACGGCCCCGACACAAAAGTTTGTTGGTCCTGGAGGCGAGAGCTGGGCCTGCAGGAGTGCATATTCCATATAGCCCTTGTGGTTGCCCGCATTGATGGCGGGGTGACGTGAATCGGACGCCATGAAGGGCCGACGGAAGAGGTCAATTTCGAAATAACGCTAGTGGTGGTGTTACAGCATAAACACCCAGCTGGAATATGTGGGTAGTGGCAACGGGGAAGCGGTGGTTTTGGAGAGGTTGATGTTGTGTCGAGAGTTCCCCGTGGGGTTTATCTGGCGATAGCGTTTAAAGTTCAAGCTATGGTTTGGCGCGCTATTCGTTATCGCGTGAGACCATGCGCTCGGCCAGCCTCGCAAGGATCCCACAGCCGCGACAAGAGGGATTCAGGGACCAACATCAACATCCCTCATCTGGCCGACTTACAGCTCCGATTCGTCTTGTCACTCTTTCAGAATACCAGTAGTAAGTCATGCATCCAACAAGAAACAGATTGGAGTCCTAATCCCTCACTGTGTAGTGTAAAGATAGGACACATGCGCCAACATCACAACCACGCTGAATCTCCCTCTTTTTCCGCCATGACCACAGCGCCGGTTCTTGCTGTCGACTTATCCAATATATCACTACCAGCTTCGGCGCTGTGATACCCATAAATATAAAAGGCAAGGCAGAGCGCCGAGCCGGCACAATGCTCCACTACCTCTCGCTCTCGCCCTCCACCAAGTCGCGCATTCTGTCGCAACGGAGAAAGATTAGATATCTGGTTCTCACCATCATTCTAATTGTCCTATTTTTCACATTCCCACACCAGAATGTCTCACACCAACGCCCATCCCATGAGCGTCCATTCCATGGACGACCATCTCCCACTGCCGCCCTAACAGAGATCCGGCAGTACAACATACAAGCCACGTTTCCATCTGAATACCCTGCCACCAAGGAATTGCGACTACAACGACGGGAGGAAGTCAAGGATGCGTTTGCACATGCTTGGAAGGGGTATAAGAAGCATGCGTGGCTCCACGACGAGGTAATGCCGTTGTCGGGGGGGCATAAGGATCCTTTCGCCGGCTGGGCAGCGACGATAGTGGACGGGCTGGACTCTCTATACATAATGGGAATGATTGACGAATTTGAGGATGCACTCAAAGCCTTGGAGAAAATCAACTTCTTGAAACCGAACGCTGAGCGTGTCCCTATTTTCGAGGTTAATATTCGTTATTTGGGTGGGTTGCTTGGCGCATGGGATATCAGTGGGCACAAGTACCCAATTCTCCTCAAAAAGGCGACGGAGCTTGGAGACTTCCTCTACGGCGCATTTAATACTGAAAGTGGGATCCCAGTCCCCTATTACTGGTGGGAGAGGGATGTAGATGGGTTGTTACCGGGTGACAATGGAGTGCTGGTCGCCCAGATTGCAAGCTTGAGCCTGGAGCTTATTCGACTCAGCCAAGTCACTGGAAACCCAAAGTATGCCGACGCGGTGCAAAAGATCACAGATCAGTTGGACGATATGCAGATGGAATCTTCACTGCCTGGGATGTGGCCATCGCAAGTAGACTGCAAGGGACCCAAGTTGGCGTTCTCAACCAGCTCGTATACGCTCGGCGCCTTTGCAGGTGAGTCTCAGATGGCTACCTGTTGGTCGTACCCATTTGCTAACATACCCCTTAGACTCTGCTTATGAGTACCTGCCCAAAACCCATCTACTCGTTCGCTCGTCGAGTTCGTCCGAGCAGTATCTCAACATGTATCGGACTGCTCTCTCGACATTTAGCAAGAACCTGTTCTTTAGACCCAAGCTCCCGGAAAACCCTGATATTCTCTTCTCCGGCACGTACAACGCCAACTCAATACTTCCAAAGCTCAATACCGAAGTCCAACACTTGGCTTGCTTCGTTGGCGGGATGGTAGGGCTTGGTTCTCGGATCAGCAACTCCGAGGATGAACTGGAAATGGCAAAAAAGCTCACCGATGGATGCGTGTGGGCGTACGAGAACACACCATCGGGAATAATGCCCGAGATCTTCCACGTCGACAAATGCGACAACCCTACCGCATGCAATTGGACCAAAACAGGGAACGGCTTCCGCACCGTTGATGATTCTTCCTATCAGCTTCGTCCGGAAGCGATAGAGTCAGTTTTTATCATGTACCGCCTCACGGCTGACCCGTCGTGGCAGGACAAGGGATGGAAGATGTTCCAGGCAATAACAAAACACACGAAGACTGATATTGCACATGCGAGGCTCAAAGATGTGATGGAAGTCAACCCAACCCAAGAAGATTCCATGGAGAGTTTCTGGCTTGCAGAGACGTTGAAATACTTCTATCTGTTGTTCAGCGAGCCTGAGTTGGTCAGCCTGGACGAATATGTGTTAAATACCGAGGCGCATCCGTTTAGATACTCATAGTCTGGAATAGATATGAACCATCCATATTTTCATGTATATAGATAATGAGCTGGCTTTAAGACAAATAGTAGCTGTACATACAGAGCTGCTGGAAATGTGTTGTCTTCATACTGTGCTAGTGAGAAAATCCCGGTTACCAGACTATACAAGGCCAACAATTACACTTCAAAGTGCAGAGAATGATATTTATAAAATCGTGGGAATTTATTCTTGAATTTATTCGTCGTCAGTCTCCAAGCTCCCATAGACATCACCCCTTGTCGGCACCCGGAAGCTTCCGCACTAGCGCATTTCTAATTTCTAAATTCCTCGCGACAACTCCAGACATCAATGACACCAGCAACACTGGCCAATTGCTACCTACGAATAGTTTTCCGGCTCGATTGCGCCATCCGGGATTCGTCCGGATCTATTGAGCATATAGACGCCTAGATTGCCTCCTCAGAGTGAGGCAAGGCACTGGGGCATCATCATTCACCATGGCATCTCGGTCCGTCTCCCCAGGAGGAGCCCTCCTCAGAGCATCCCGAATGTTTTCGGTCCCAGCGCCAATACAGCGCCCGGCTTCAGAGATGGCCTCGAACGCTACCTTCGGCTCAGATAGTGCAACCCTCCCTCACCCGACCCATCTCTCGATCAGCACTCCCTCGTCATCCCGCTCCAAGGGCGATTGGGGGTTCAAGCGCAATCTGCCTCTCCGCTCCACGACAAAGACCTCGACTCCAGTCATCCGCATCAGCTCTGTCGATACCTACGATCACATCACTGAATTTGGATCCGCGGCTGACCACACCCTCACCCTCCGCAAATGGCAGGAGCTGAACATGCCTCTGACGGCACCTGCAGTTGCAACGGCAGGTACTTACGGCCCAGCCAGCAGGACACCAGGACGCGGCGTCTTTGAAGCGGATACGGATATCACAGAAACAGGGGGCGACATAGCGAACAAGGACCACCGCTGGAAATTTGACGGGCCGTGGTTGGCAGGACAAACAGAGGGCGAGTTCAATGAATACGTGAGAACCGAGGTTGCCAAGAGGAGACCAGCTTTCCGCAAGTTTCTGCAGAATTACAAAGCCGATCAGGAGACCAAGGATGCTCAGCGAAAGGCTATGGAGGCTGGGGCAGTGGCACCCGAGCCACTTAAGGCAACCGAAATGACAGAGGAGGAAATGGCACAGTATCTGCGCACGTTGAGACAGGATCGCTCTGAACTATTCAGACTTATCAGAGACTTCCTGGACCTTCCCCCGTCCCCATCAGTCAACGATGATTACGGAAGCGTCGCAGAGAGCTTGTTCACCGACATGACGTCGGGATCATTGTTTGGCAAGACCGTGAAGGCTGAGGATTACATCCAGAAGTCCAGCTCTCCGTACGCCAACGCCGGCCCGCCAAAGACTCATCCCTCCGCGGGCCTGTCGTACCTACGGACTGGTGCGCATATCACCAACCATCCTGTCTATGGACCTCAACACGACCATGCACCTGTACAAGGGCGTGTTATTCTCCCCAAGAACGCAGCTGTGGGAAGCTTTGCACCGAAACTTGGTGTGGCAGGTATTGTTGTCGATGTCCCAACGACTTCGGACTACTTCAATACCTCGACATTTGGCCACGGCCGCAGAAAGACCAACGCGGACAGACTTCCAGGGCTCCTTAACATCGAACCCGAGAAGGTTGGAGGCTCCAAGGTCTACCTTAGCCCCAAGTCTGCCACCATTGACTCCAAGGGTCGCATTAATCTCCAAGTATCTGGAGCTCAGAATGCTGCTGTTGCGGTTCTCGAGGGCACAGCTTCTACCGCAGCAGCGCGAAGTCCGGTTGATGGCGGAAGACCAGCCTCTCAGACGATATTTCGCCAGCTATCTGGCGCCTCATCCGGGGGATACGGATTAAGCTCAGAGGCCGATAATGCATTTGGCGACAGGGCGCGTGATGTCGAGAGTGAGCGATGGTCCCAATCCACGCCAAGGCCGAATGAGAGGAGAAGTGGAAAGGAGGAGTTTGAGCAGCTGGAATCTCTCTTGGCTGGCAAACCACAACAGAAGTAGGATACTGGGGTAGAGATGTACGTTATTGGGAGCACGATATGTAGACTAGATGTAGATATAACTTTGAATTGCGTTATGACTATCTATTTGATAGAATTCGAGGTTGATCATGTGACTTGTGGTTATTTCAAGCCTCAGGCGTCAACGCACTCCACAAAATGTGTTGCCAAGACCTTTCTGCCCTACTATGTTAAGCGACACCACACAATATCAAAAAGTTTCCAGAGGACCTTCACGACAACACGACAAGCTCCTCAACCAGATTCTCGACAATTCACATCGACAACCGCAATCATGGGTCGCGTTCGCACTAAGGTTGGTTCTCTCATGGTGCCTCAAAATAATTGCAATCAACAGACGCTGACAAGATGCGACACAGACTGTCAAGAAGTCCGCCAAGGTCATCATTGAGCGTTACTACCCCAAGTTGACTCTCGACTTCGAGACCAACAAGAGAATCTGCGATGAGATCGCCATCATTGCTTCCAAGCGTCTCCGCAACAAGGTACGACAAATTGCTGTTTTGACACCCCAAGGGAAATAATCTGACAAGTGGATTAGATTGCCGGATACACCACCCACTTGATGAAGCGTATCCAGCGTGGCCCAGTCCGCGGTATCTCCTTCAAGCTCCAAGAAGAGGAGCGTGAGCGCAAGGATCAATACGTCCCAGAGGTCTCTGCCCTCGACTTCACCCAGAACTCCGAGACCGGCACTCTCGAGGTCGACCAGGAGACCAAGGATCTCCTCAAGACCCTCGGCGTAAGTAACCCGTTCAACTTGTCACAGACAGACTCCCTAACAGTCACCAGTTCGACTCCATCCCAGTGTCCATCGTCGCCGTTGCCCAGCAGCAGACTACCGAGCGTGGCCCCCGCCGCTTCGGTGACCGCCCTCCTCGCAAGGATTAAATGTGTGTTTTGGGATTTGGAGGATAAGGGGTTGCAAATGGCGCATTGCTTCTGGGCGTCTGGCGGAAACGTTATGCATACTAGATCAATGTAAGATCATGACCTCCAACTAGGTGTCGCTGATTCTCCCTTGGGAGATGATGCTTGATTGCCATTTTCTTTTGTTCTATGCTGTGCGTGTGAAGTGCTGTCGCAGCCGTCACCTTGACCGATACGAGTTTTTCCCCAGATGGTGACAACGAAAGCGTGATTGCGTGCAGACTTAACATTTAGGATCCCATGAACACCAGCTCTAGCAACCTGTAGAGATCATCAATACTGGTAGCACAGTCACAATGAATACTCAATTCTGTTTTTGAAATTTGAAATTTTGATCTGGATGAATCTGCTATACTATGTGTACAATGCTCCGTATTGCCTGTAGAGTCTTGCTCCGGGTATCTCATACATGATAACGCCATATGATCCAGCCTTCTATAAACGCCATCCAACTCCCTGTACAACCATCCTATGTATGCCTTTTATTACCTTGAAGCATACCCTTCGTGCTTGAGATGCATGGCGTCAAACCTCCGCCTGACCTGCTCATCCTCATCATCGAACTCATCGTCAAAACTCGGCGGCACAGCTTGTCGAGTTATCTCATTCTCCCTCACCTCAACATCCACAAGGCCTCCTCTCATCACAGCGTCTGGTGCCATCTCACCCCTCTCCAGCGCCAAGTCCCTTCTATCCTCCACCCCTCGTCCTTCCGGGTCGGAGATAATCTCTAGATTCTTCAAGTCGTCTGCCAACCTATCGTCGAGCCTTTGCCTTTCAGAGAGCGCTTCACGCTCGCCGAGAAGCTCGAGCTCGCCACCGTATCCCCCATCCCGTTCCCAGGCCGGCGTCTCAGAGAGTTGGACTTTGATGTACATGGCCCTCCTCGCGCAGTCCTCGCTGCACCATTGGTCTGCTTCTGCGGCTGGAACGATGCGAAAATTGCTTGATCTGCCCGACGTGCCAAAGAGCCTATATCCACCGTTCGAGCCTCCTGGCGGTGAGGGGTTGGGGCAGAGCACGTAGGCGCAGCGGTTGTTTATGCGGCGCTCTTCAAGGAGGGCGTCGAAGTCTGAGGGTTGGAAGGGGCGTAAAAGCTGCTTGACAGTGGAGATGTCAGACGCAGATGGAGAGGTGGCGGGGAGGCTGGTGGTGGGGTAGTCGATGAGCGTCTCGGTCGAGTAGAGAATGTCGAGTTCGAGGTCTTTCCGGCGCTGGATGAGGTTTGCATGATACAGAGCCGTGGCGAGATGGGCAGGATTGGCTGACGCAATGGACTCAGCGAGGGGGGAGTCTACTGAAACGATGGACGCGTTAGATTGTTGGGGTGTGGTGGAATCGTCGATGCGCTTCTTCAAAATAGACTTTGCGGGTTTCGAAGAGGAGGCCATGGCTGACGACCGGACGAACGCATACGTGTATGGGGATCAGATATGTCTCGACGCTTCATCCAGGTAGGTAGGTGAAATCAGTCCAAAGTCGAGATATTGTTGTGTTTTCTCGTCGTCGTGGTCGCAGACTGTGGCTTGGTGTCTGTACTCTACTCCGTGCTGTGTTTTGGAAGTATGTAATCAATCATATCACGACCCCTCCCCCACCAAAATTCAGTTGGTCGTCGTTGGTGATTGATTGCTCCAGCCACAAGCCACACACAACGCCTCAGCCATAACCTACTTTAGTGTGGTCCCCCACTCTACTCTACTGCGGCTAAGGCTTCAATCAATCACCACCACCACTCCCTCTTCCACAGTCTCTTTCTCACCATCCTATAAATCAACCTACAACTGCTTCGAATGCACAAATAAATTGTTTATACTACCTGGTAAGTTTATTATCCTCATCTGTACACAACTCTTCCGCCTTGACGCTGCTTTGTTGTTGTTCATCTCGCCTGATTACCTCCCGCTCTTCGCCGCTGACGTATCCCACAGCTTCGTCCTGCCTGTGCTACATGGGTGATTCGCCCGCAGCAATATCTACAGCCTCTCCCTAGAAACACAACTGCTATAGTACGACCTATTCCCATCATTGCGCTGCTCTTGGCCTTGCTACATCGACAACCGACCTGGGCCCTGGTTCGCTGTCGGTTGATAAACAAGCGGTGACGTTGTAGTTGGTTATAGCTGGCAATCCGAAGGCAACAAATATGCCTGCTCCACCCTTCAAAGTCAAGGCCGTCTACGAATATACGTCCCCTCACGAAGACGACCTGCACTTTCCGAATGGCCAAATTATAACGGTTACCGAGGAGGAGGATGACGATTGGTATTCAGGGGAGTACGTGGACGCCGAGGGGGTCAAGCAGGAGGGCATATTCCCGCGGAATTTCGTCGAGAAATACGAACCGCAAGCTCCTCCGCGGCCTGTCCGTTCTGCACGACCGAAGAAAGAGGCCGAGCAAGCAGCACCTGTCCAACCCCCGGCGCCCGAACTGGTTCCAGCTCCGGTTGTTGCCGAGCCAGTCCCAGAGCCAGTCCCAGAGCCCATTGTTGCCGAGACTCCAGTCGTAGTCGAGGAAGTCGTAAAGGCGACACCTTCAAAGATTGAACCATCCGCCCCTGCCGCGCCAAAACAGGTCGAGAAACCTGCCGCTCCTGCGCAAGTAGCACCTAGAGCAGCTGCCCCACCTGCGGCGAGATCGCCCCCTGCAGATGAATCGGATAAACCAACGGGGTCTTTCAGGGACCGTATCGCCGCATTTAATAAGTCTGCCGCGCCTCCGCCAGCTCCATTCAAGCCCGGTGGACTGGGTGGTGGCTCGAGCTTTATCAAGAAGCCGTTTGTCCCGCCGCCACCGAGCAAGAATGCCTATATCCCTCCCCCTCGCGATACTCCCGTGGCAAAGATTTACAGGAGAGAGGAAGACCCTGAGATTGCCGCAAGGGAAACCGAGAACCAAGAGAGTGCGCAGAAAGCAGGACTCGCCGCGACTGGCCAAGAGGGCGAAGAGGATCAGCCAAAGCCAACGAGCCTCAAGGAGCGCATTGCCTTGTTACAGAAGCAACAGGCAGAACAAGCTGCCAGACACGCCGATGCTGCACAGAAGAAGGAAAAGCCGAAGCGCCCCGCAAAGAAGCGCACCGACTCTCAGCCCGTAGGCGAGCAACTAGACGGCGAGGAAGTACCTCTCGAGAAGCAAGAGAGCCACGAGACAGTGGGTAGGCAATCGATCGATTCTTCCAGAGATGAAACTGCTCGCCAGCAACCCCAGAGACGCAAGTCATCAAAGGGCCCACCTGTTATTCCGGCTGCTGCTCTGGAGGCGGACGGAAACGATGCTGATATGTCGGGAGCGGGCGACGAGACTGAGGAGCCTGATACTGGATTTGAAGATTCGGATGCCAAGCCGACTGTTAAATCGCACGCGCCACCTCCACCGGCTCGTGGACCTGTTTTCCCAGCACACGAACCTGATGTAGGCGATGAGGAGGACGTTGCGAGCGATAGAGAGGAAGGAGAGGAGGGCGAAGATGAGGAGGAGGAGGAAGAGGTTGACCCTGAAGTTCGCAGAAAGGAGGAGATCAGGGCTCGTATGGCAAAAATGAGTGGAGGCATGGGCATGCATGGCATGTTTGGTCCTCCCGGTGGAATGCCTATGCCAATGCCGGGTGCAGGTGCGGCGCCGAAGAAGAAGAAGGCTGCTTCAGGCGATTCACGGCCCTCTGGAGAATACGGCTATGATGAGAGCAGCCCCACGAGCTCTCGTGCTCCTCAGGTTCCGATCATGGCTCTACCGGGTTTGTCCAAGGTCCGTACTCCGGAAGAAATGCCTTCTGGTATTGTGACAGGTACACATGAGCCCGAAGAAATCCCGGATGTCGAAGATACTGTTGGGGCTGTTGCGCCACCACCTTCAGAACGTCGCCCTGCCCCCCAACGATGTAAGTAAATTGGGCCCATATTTTTGAATTATCTAACATGTCGAAGCATCGATGAGTCACGAGAGTTTTAAAGCTCCGGCTGTGCCCGGTGGAAGGCCAGCACCACCGCCAGTGCCTGTTGAATGTACGTTTGTCTGATATGAGCGCAAATAGTATATGCTGATATGTGTAGCTCGCCCTGCACCCGTAGCAACCGCGTTGTCTCCAAGTGCTGGGTCTATATCGGACGATGAGTTATCTACCCGGGTATCAGCGCAAACACCAACAGGTGAAGCTCCACCCAAGCTAGCCGCGGCTCCGAGCCTTCCTATTAGAGAGGAGAAACCAATTCCTTCGGCGTTGTCAACGGCAAAAGCTGGGTCGTATGAACCAAGCCCTGTATCTCCTACCACACCTGGTGCAAACAAACGAGCGAGTCGTGTTCCACCTATTCCTGGTTCCAGCCCTGTCGTCAGTTCTGGTCAGACCCGTGCTCCACCGCCCCCGCCGCCGACAGGTTCGCTGAGCCGGGCGTCAACTGGCGATGCTAGGGTTGCGCCGGTGCCCACTACCATTCAGAGCGAGGAGACAGACGAGGAGGTCACTGAATATGAGGGGGATTATGACACAGATATTGCCTCTACAGAGACGCATAAAGATGCATTGAAAGCACAGGCTAGAGAGTCAAGCATCGATGATGAGTCGGCGAGGTCTTCCTTTGGATCCCCTGCCGGGCCACCTCCACCGCTGCCGCCAGTTGCGGCCCCTCGTGGCATTCCCCCACCCCTCCCATCGCAACCACCGCCACATGCTCGCCAGTCTTTGGATATGCCACGGGCCGTGCCCCCACCGCCACCACCACCAAAGCAAGAGGCCTCGGGAGATTATGATGAAGAGGATGACGAGTACGACCCATTCAAGTATACGGCCCCGAAAACGGGTGTCCCTGTGAGCGCCGCGACAGTTAGAAAGGTCCATGGTGATGACGAAGACTTGTACTCGACTTCTCCTCCTCGACACGCGCCACCTCCTCATGACGGGCGGGCTCCGCCTCCGCCACCTCCTCGTGACGCAGCCCCCCCTATCTTACCCGCCGCTCCCATTGCTCAGGCTGAGAGAGCCGCACCGCCCCCGCCACCCCGGGAGCTTGCCCCTACTCCAACTAATAGAGCAGCGCCAAGACAATCTGTGGATGTACAACGAAGTACGGGACCAACACGGCGATCGACCGATTTGAACCGAATGTCAATGGACCATGGTTTTATCGCAAACGATGTGGATTTAGGGGAAGGCAGCTTATGGTGGACCAACCCTAGTGGCGTGCCTCCAGCATTCCATGGGCGAAAGGACCTCCTACATGAATCCGAGGAGTCGACTGTTAGCAAACGAGGCGGGAAGTCTGTGACTACCAAAGATCTTTACGTGTTATTCCCCGACTATTCACAAACCGTGGTCACTGTTCAGTTCGACCCTCAGAACCCATCCGACGCGATATTCGAGCAGCGCCACGAGCAACCCCCTTCCCGCCTGCGCCAGGATCAGCTGGAAGAAGCGCACGAGCGCTTCGGTAGCCGTATCCACGACGCTGTGGTGGCCAAGAAGGAAGTTGTTGTCGCAGACGGCACCCCAGCCGGCCTAGTCGTTGAGCTTCTAAAGCCGTTTAAGGACGCCTTGCTTCCCATTGGCGCACGAGCCTATGGCGCCTTGGTCTACAGCAATCTCGGGAACTCACTGACGTCCCAATTCGACGAGATCCGACCGGGCGATATCATCACCCTGCGCAATGCCAAGTTCCAAGGCAAACACGGCCCGATGCATGCCAAGTATACGGCTGAAGTCGGGAGGGGCGAAGGCCACGTTGGTGTGGTCGCGGAGTGGGACGGGCCGAAGAAGAAGGTGCGTGCTTGGGAACAAGGACGGGAAAGCAAGAAGGTTAAGCTCGAGAGCTTTAAGTTGGACGATCTCAGGAGCGGCGAGGTCAAGATCTGGAGAGTCATGCCAAGGAGCTGGGTGGGCTGGGAAGGCGAGAATTCAAAGTGAGATGCGCGTGTGGCAAGGCCACTAGGTAATTAGCGCGCAGATGGTGATACGTGTATTTAGTTCACTCTGCTAGTAGCAATGTGCATTTTATGTCTTCTGAAATAAGGCGAGGTTTATTAGTGACGTTGCTTTTATTAGTTGAGACATCAGCTTGTGGCTTCGGATTTAATATGATCTACAAAACATATATTGCACTACGGGACAAAGGACTGGCTTGGGTTGACTGAAAAGGCTGCCTTCCCGTGAAGATGGAGACGAGGAGTACTGTATTGCCAAATGATATTCTATTTAGTATATACTATTGTACTCGACAGGTGGTGTAGTGCGGTTATGTCTAGATGCATGCGTGTTAGCAAGAGTACGGTAACTTTGTAATCCTGTAGTGAGTAAAGGTTTTAACTTTGAATCCACAACTGTACTAGAGCCTCTACAACAAATATCTTAAAAGTGTTATTTATTCATGGTATCAGGTAATAAAATACAAGTATCCGCCCATTACGCCGGCCACATCTACCTAACAGCATATATCCTCCCCATTTCCCTCCTCTCCTCGAAACTCATCGGCATCGGGAGCTTTAGCATCGGCACCTCTAACTCATGCCCCTTCTTTATTATCCGCAGTGGCGCTGGTATGGGATCTGGTGTGTTAACGCGCGACTCCTCCCCAGCCTTATTCTCTACCTCGAGCGTGTCTCTATCCGACGACCCTGCGTTGCTTGCTGTATCTGACTCTAAATCAGGAACTTCTGCTTCACCCATAAGTTTTGCCGCCTCCCTGGAATCCTCTTTCTCTACAACGTGAGATAATCGTGCACTGATGAAACCCCGCCTCGTCAAATTTCGCTCTAGCCCTTCTTTCTTGTCAAAGGGCGTCGAAGCCGATATCTCAGAATACGCCGCCAGTGAATCAAGCGCCGAGTGCGGCGACCATGTGTGCCTCCCCGCCATTGAAGCTCCGCTATTAGCCCGCTCAAGGTTGGAAGCGTCGCTATAGTGCGACGAATACCCCGTGTCGGACCGTCTCAGGCCACCCATGCCGCCATATCTCGGTGGCGAGAGCAGTACATGTATCGGTACCGGTTTGCGCACGATGGAGACTTTGCGGTTAATGGAGCGTTTGCGATTAATAGAGCGTACATGTGGGACACGTCTATCGCTTTTAGGTGGTGGTGTCGGCGGCTGGTTCCATAGGTCTATAGGAAAGTCGTAGTGGAGTTGTGGGAGAGGATGCGATTCGGCAGGAGGGTGCACATCGGGTCTGTAAATGGGAGATGTGGCCGGGAGCGTGTGAGGTCGATATTGCTCCCCGCCTCGAGAGGTGATGGAACCATTGCTATATAGGATATGGTCTGGTATTTCCGAGATGTCGCGTGGCGTAAGTGGAGAGATCATATCGTCGGGGCGCGGTGGGCGCGGAGGCGGCATAGATACGCTCCTGTTGTGGTGTACTGCCATTAACGGTAATGTGGGCGAATCCGGCCGTTGCGAGGGAGGCGGAGACACTGAGTAGCCACTTCTTTGAGTGTAGCCTGCTAAATGTGCTGGGGGCGGAGACGCCGATCGAACAGCAACATATTCACTTCTTTGAGTGTAGCCTGTCAGGAACCGATCATTGCGCCATGTGCTCGAGTTGTCTGACTCTGATGCTGCCTCGCTGCATTCGAGGTCTGATACTGGCTGCGAGCTGGCGATGCTCCAGGCCCCAGCGACGTGCTGCTTCTTCCAAGCTTCCTCGGCGCTATTCCTCATGGATCTTCGATTGCGGCGTCGCTGGCGACAATACCGGAACAAGAAGTATAGCCCGATGATTGTGAGAATACCTAAAACCGACGACACAACTATGGTGCCTATCAAGAAATTTCTATTAGATTCCAGTCCGCGCCGTAGTCGGAGAGAGTGCAGCGACATTGTGGGTGGTGGTGTTTTTAGTGCTGATGGTAGAAGCATGCGATATCAGGTCATGCTCAAGAGGGACGGCGACGGAATGGTATCGAGAGAAATCATAACATGAGAATTAATGAAAAGGACTGGCCAACGGGAGATAGTTGGTGATATAAGAAGACAGGTATACTTTCCTGAGAAGACTGCGGACGAGGCGTGTCATACTGTGGCAGGGAGCGTAGCTGAAGATCTAAGGCATTATACCTACTTAGCATAACGATTATTAAACCTAAAGAAGCAGGACACGAAAACTTAATTCTGAGATCGACCCCAACTAAGGCAGTTTTCGTACAAAAGTTGTAGTTGTGAAGCCTTGGAACCTCCCGGCTGACAGATGGTTGTACAGGGACGTTGAGGGATCTGCGGTTGCTCAGCCACGAAGCCATTTTTGGAACAACGATCGAGCCAACCGCAGCGACGCGTGGGCGAACCACCAAATAGACAATGCCACCGCCAATGCACTCGCATAGTTAAATCATCCCTGACCCGAAGAAGAAATGCCCTGTGGCATTAAACTATAATCTAGCGTGGGCTGAATCTTCGAGAATGGGCTGCGCGGGTCATCTCACGATTGCAAGCACGCCGAAGTGACGGAAGCCGAACGATATTTATGCCGCCTGTCGCATACTTCGGTCAGAGAAGCATGACTGTTCTCTCCGATCGCGATAAGTCGTCTATGACATCAACGGGGGCGGAAGGATCCATGGATATCGGGTACGGGATTCCTACACTCCTGAAGGAATACGCGTCGCCCCGCCGCACGAATCGAAGGACATTCGCCACGTGAAGGAGCTCATAGATCGCATAGATCGACTAGGGTCAAATCGCACACGACGTCTCGCGGCGATTACAAGCCACACACGATGGAAGGATGGAACGAGAACTAGCAACCTAGGCCGCCTTACGTGGGGCAATCGACTGCCGTGCTTATGGTAATCACCTTATTCCACACTTGTTAACGTGCCTCGTCACCGTCTGTATCACGATTATTGTTTCGCATCCCTGTCGCCATGATTTCTATTGCTGTTCACCATCGCATAATTAATTTCTATAGCTGTCCCTTATAGCTATAGTTCCTATCGCTGTTCCCCATGCCTATAATGCCTATTGCTATAGCATTCTCAAGCAGAGGAATCAAGGCGTCATCCGAGTACCCAATCTCAGCTGCGCAACGAGTGAAATCTGCGTAAAAATCATCAAAGGGTCTCCTTGCCATTCGTAACGTGCGCAGCTCGACTATGGCACGATTCTTTCTGTTCTTGTTCCCATAAATCTTGCCGAGTGCATCAAGCATCTCCTTTGCGGTTCGCTCCGGCCGGCACTGGGCTCGTATTTGTTGATATGCCCCGCAATCAGTCCGGCTTCTGATGTAGGCAATTCGATGGAGTTCTGTAGGATTTAACAAACAGCGGTGAAGAGCTTAGAGGAAGCATTGTGCCTGGTGGCTGGAGATAGAGCGATGGAAGAAGGGTAGGGTTAGTTGGCTCATCAGCCTCATCAAGGCCAATGTCCTCAAGGCCAATAGGCACATCTGATAATTATGAGTCGCTCATTATGTGTTATGGCATCTACATCATAAGTATTTCACGAGCACCATATGGTTATATTCATAGTTCGATTCTAATACTTGGCAAAGATTGGCAAATATACGGGATATATACCTACCTACTTGAAATACCCGAGTAGTTTTCTCAGATAAAAAAGGTAGGTATATACCCAGGTATATACCCGGATACGCTATAGCTACCAGTGCCAAACACTGAATGTTGTACATACAAATAAAATCTGCATTTCAAGGATTCCTGCATATCACGGACAGGTGGGGACGAGTTGGGGCCCAGCAAAATATATCGATATAATGTGAATATCGGCTTAACTTGTAATATATCGTCTTATTGGCAATGCATCCTAGTGGTTCATACACTATAGGCGCTGAGCTATTCGTGGGGTGGGAGGAGACAAGCTTTCGCTTCTAGTCGGGATGGTTCACCGCAAGACTCATCGGCAGGCCGCCCTGGCTGGTGAGGTCCAAAAGGACTGCACCCTGTAATGTGGCACAAAGCATGAACTACAAACGACACAAGACAGATGAAAACCTCTCTTATTTTAGAGAGAATAGGTGATGAGAGGCATAGAATGCATCTAGATTCTGGATTGTTTTGGTAGTTTAAGTATGGATACCATCATTGATCTACTCTGTTTTGCGTTTGCGCGCCTAAAATTATGGGTGCAGGAAATCACTGAAGATTGGCAGCGCCACGATGTGACAGTTGAGGCGATGGAGCGCTCAGTAATCGCTTTTTCGCATCCGTATTAACCAAGCGAGATGGGCTGGGTGCTTCCTGGAGAAATGGTTATCTCTTGAAGACTCACTCACTACAAGTATAAGATTGCAGAACATTGCCACGATTTCGTCCATGTTGCTCTTCGGTCGTCTATGTGTTCAAAATGAAAATGGCCTCTTTCCCACCCTCTGGTAGTGTGCCCGCCACGCTCACCACAATCCCCATCGAACTCCTCTACCAGATCATCACCCAACTCCGTGAGTACCGCTATAATGAGATTCTGCCGCTCCGCCTCGTCTGCCGCGAGCTTAACCACCGCGTCACCGAGTACATCGGCACCGGCTCCTACTTCTTCCGCCAGCTCTGCGGCGAGTTCATGCGCGCGGACCTGCACCGCATGCTTGCGATCGCGCACTTTCCCGTCGCAAGGAGGTTTGTTAAGGATCTGCTCATCACCATGACAAAGGGGAACAAGGGGAGAAAGTTGCTGGCGAATGAGAGATCACCGGGGTGGGGGCGCAATGCGCTGGGCCACCTCGCTAGTCCAGAGAAGGTATATGAAATCCGCACGTTGAAGGCTATTATGGGGATGCTGCAGAATTGTGACGGGGTCCGGCTTACGTACAATGTCGAAAAGAAGGGCCAGCGGGAAGGGTCCATACAGCAGACTGTCGAGGGAATTCTTGTCGTCTGCGCCGCAGCGGAGGTGAACATCAGGGGCGCCGAACTGTGCGATCACCACATCGCCCTTTCTACATTCACCATCGACCAATCCCCCCCCTTTAAGCCATGGGACAAGACGCTCCCGCTCCTCAACGCTGCGTGCGCCGTCATCCCAGCCCTGCAGCTAACCATCAGCCCCGCGAACAAGGAGACGGACTGGGTCGAAGCCTTCGTGCTCAAGTGCGTCAACCTCGAGCAGCTCTCTGTCAACTACAAGGCCTGCAGTTATTACAGCCCAGGCTTGCACCACCGCTTCTACGATGACATAGCCGCGACGACCAAGCCGCTGCCAAAGGTACAGGCGCTCATGATCGAGACAAATGGGTTCACGCTGGATCAGCTGACTGCGTACGTCGGCCGATTCAAGGAGTCCATCCGCGAGCTTAACCTCGCGTGGGTGAAGTTAGATGGCGAGGACGGGTGGCCGAGGTTCTTCGAGTGGACAAGGGAGAATCTGCCGCTGCTAGAGAAGTTCGAATTCAAGGCTCTGTACCACGGGGCGGGGTCGAGGGACGGGGTATTCTGCTACGACTCGGTGCTGGACGACAAGGAGTTGATTGTCGAGGTGTCGCCGGGGAGGAAGTGGGAGATGTTCGTGCGGCTCGATGGTGGGACGCTGGAGGTAGAACATTCGAATGCGTTGCCTTATAGAGATAGTTGGGTTGTGATGGAGGAGATCGCGGACGGGACATTTGATTGGGACAATATCCCCCATGAGAATGGGCCTGCGTATAATGTGTCATATGAAGGATCAAGAGCCAGTGCGCGGGAGGCGTTACGATTGCTCGCTCTCGCGGCGGTGCCTCAAGTGCTGGCGCGGGGTTGTTCGGCTAGACCGAATAGAATTAAGGTGTGATGGCGGGTTTGTCGATAGGTAATAATATAATGATCGTGAGGAGGAGCTTTAGGGTTATAGTCATAGCACCTATTGGGATCTCTCTCATCCCATCCATGAATTTCAAGTATGGCGGATGAGGTGGACCAAGCAATGCCGAGCGCAACGCTTATCACAATGAACACCCTGCGTGTGTAAACTCGCCAGACAGTCCAGTCTTTATTGGCTTCGGCCCTCTTGATTGTGGTTGCATTAGTTTGAGTCGTTGCATCAGTTTGAGTCGCGCCAGTCGGAGCCATGTCAGTTGACGTCCCGCTAGTAGGAGTCCTCCTAATCGAAGGGCCATCAACAGGAGCCCTGGCGCTTTCAACAGCCTCGTACATGTAAGCACGGCGTTAGGACCAGAATGAGTTCGAAGTGAGATACCAGTAGGGCCCAACCAGCTCTCGATGATAGTACGTGATGGTCTGCCATTGAGTAAAAACCAGCTATAAGTATTGCGGCTCCTGTAATGGCTTGTAAGTCGCATAGTGGGCCTAAGAGGTTTTTAGTTCCAAGTGCGAATCGGATGAAGTACGGAGACTTGACCATTTTCCATCTGCGCAAAGATGCCATCGTAGAAGCAAGTATTGTGATCCATGCTGTGATTATGAAAGCTGTCATGACCTGTAACAGAGTCAGTATTTACTCCCTCATTTTGGGGAGGCGCAAGCCCACTCCAGCTCCGCCAATATCTGCATTGCCTGGTATAGGTGCAAATGCTCCTGTCTCGTGGTCAATCTTAAAGTTGCTTATAAGAAACCTACCATCTCCTCTTGTTATGCGCACACTCCTACCCTGTTACGCATACTCCTATAGTATCCTATTATACGTGCTCCCATTATGCCCATCCTACCATGCCTATCCCATCGTGCTCATCCTACCATGCCTATCCCATCGTACGTCCTGTTGTTCCCCGTCGTGCCCGTCGCTCTCGCTGTTCACCGTCATGCTTGTTGCTCTTACTCTTCCCCATCATGCCCGTTGCTCTCGCTCTCCCTACGTGGTATCTAGGTGGGAGTACCTCTATTTGCGTTTCTACGATCACCCCATGATAGTTTTCATGCATTCCAAAGCAGCAGAACTGTGGTATTATATTGTTATAGATATTTTAGGCCCACCATGCCATAATAGATAATATACCTAACTATTTAGAGCAGCTCAACGATCCGCAAGTAAAACAAGTCGCATCATAGTAGTTGAACAATGGGTTACCAACGTTGCTATTAAAAGCCTTCGGTCCATAATGTAAGTTGCAATTTTTCCCCTGGATGAAATAGATGTTTGTACAGCACGATGTTGCTAGACACTTTGCGCTACAAGCAGCAAGACTTGCCACGTAAGGGCTACCAGCGACATATCCAACAATAGTTCCAGCATTGGAAGCGGCGAGTGAAGAACCCTTACCTCCGCAGATAGCGGCTGAGGGAGTTGGTGAGATGATACCAGAGACTGTTTTACAAGTAGGCGTAGTTGAGGTTGAGGTTGAGGTGCAGCTTGGTAGAGTTCCGCAAGTAAAACAGGAAGCGTTGTAAAATTCAAACTGGGTACTTCCAACTCCAACACCCTGATCAAAAGCGTTCGGTCCATAATGCAGGTTGCAGGCTGATCCTTGAATGAAATAGACATTCGTACAGCAGGAAGTTACCAGACACTGTGCACTGCAACTAGCAAGAGATGCAACATAAGGGCTGCCAATACCATATCCTATAATAGATCCAGCACCTGGTGCAGCATGCGATGTGCCTTTAAGTCCACAAATGGCGCTTGAGGGAGTTGGCGAGGCGAGACCAGAGACTGTTCTACAGGAAGGTGTGGACGTTGTCGTGTGAGTTGTGGAAGTGGGTGTAGCTGTTGTTGAGGTCGAGGTACAGCTCAGCTCTCCACAGGTAAAGCAGGTCGCATCGTAGTAACTGAACGATCCGACACCACTCAAAAGAGCCCTAGGACCATAATGCAAGTTACAATTGCTGCCTTGGATGAAAAAGACATTTGTACAGCAAGAAGTTGCTAGACATTTTGCGCTACAAGCGGCAAGACTTACAACATAAGGACTGCCAGCAACATATCCAGCAAGGGTTCCAGCACCGGAGAGCGTATATGAACTACCCTTTAGTCCGCAAACGGAGTTTGCAGGTGTTGGTGAGGCCATTCCAGAAACTGTTTGACACGTAGTCGGGGGTGGTGATCCAACGACTCTTGAGGATCCCTCAAGCCAGGCCATTACCGTAGACATGAATCCATTCATATTGTCCGAGGCGTACGTGGGCGTTTCCCCCAATGGACTAATCATTTCAAGTGCCCCCTTTGTCATCAAATTGTAGATCCAAAGATCAGAGCTGGATTCGATATTAATCAGTCTAGTTTGGCAATTTTCTGTATTCAAGCAATCTTGCAAGTAGCCATTAAACCAGCTGTAAAGCCCGGCACTGTAGATGTAAGTTGTTGCTGAATTGACGATATGAAGCGCCCATGAGACAGCACAAGTAGTTGAGGTAGAAGAACAATCAGAGAAGCTCGGGTCGTTCGCAAAATTTCCGAGAGTGAAAGGAAGTGGGGCTTTAGGTGCGGGTTGGAAATATGGCGACTCAGTTTGTATCAAGCCGAGGAATGTTGTTTTGGCATTCGAGAGTGCATATTGATATAACACATTGTGTTCAGATGCGGTGCCCCATAGCCACGTGGGTCCTTTACTCTCAATGAGAATACCTATACGATTGAATTAAACCCATCGTTTAATATAGGACGAAGGGTTGAAAAGAAGATTAGTCATGAGACAGGATGGAACACTAACCTCTTCCAGAATAGACGTCTATTTGGGCTTGTGAAGTGATGTCGAGATCGTGATCTGTTTCACACCAATTAGCATCAAGTACTACAACTGCACATGACGAAGAGAAACGAACCTGCTGTCCATGCCCAGATATTCTCGAGATAAGCCGAAGAGCTAGAGGTCAAATGCAATTGCAGCGATGCTGCAACACAGGCTGATTTGACGGCCCCACTCAGTTTAGGACAATTAGCGGCTTGGAGTTGGGATCCTCGAGCTCCACCAACACGCATGTTCGTATCTTATATGTTAGCAGAGCCCTTGTATTTGCAATTGAATCACATACTCCACATAGCAGCAGACCCCTGGGTTGATTCATGGACATTCCATTCAATCAGCACAGCACCTGCAGTACCGCCAGAGACGGTGATCATCATGTCAGAGATCTCAATAACTCCATTATCCCCGGCAGTTCCGACTTTCACAACAGCACGAGGTTGTGACATATCCTGGAAATTAGTCCCAGATGCCATAATTTGCGACCACGCTTGACCAACAATTCTAGACCCGACGGGGACCTTGACAGTGTCTTTGACCAAGTAGATACCAAATGGGAAAAATACGATGGAGTTGGATTTCGCAGCAGCCGCAAGAACTTGATTAATGATTGCACTGTCATCAGTGACGCCGTCTCCCTTTGCGCCCTGAGACTTGATGTTGACCATAGATGACGCAGCAATATCTTCGTAAGTCGGAGCACTACGGGTGAAAAAATTGTTGGTCGAGGAATCGACAAGACTTGCAGCTCTGCTTGGTGCTGCGATGGTCTTTCCGCTTTGGAAAGATGCTGTGCTTGAGGTGCCTTGAACGAGGTTGCCCATGCCCCACGATGCGAGTTTAACACTCGAGGTGCTGCCGGCCACCAATGTTTGTGGCACTTGTACATCTTGGATGGCGATGGTGCAGCCGGTGAAAACAGTGTTCTGGACCACCACATTTGTAGGGGCACCCGTCAGGAGCGATGTTGAGATACCAACAGCGAGAGCGGAGAATGTGGAATCGGTGATAAGCATTGCGCCCACACCTGCGCCGCCGTGTGAGGTGTCCGCCTAAAACCATATGAGCACCAACAAGTATATTTAGGGGTACTCTACTTACTCCGCCGGTAACTGTAATCCCTGTGGTTCCAGAAACAACCGCGATCCCTTGCAAAGTCCAACCCCAATCCCAGAAGATTTGAATTGCAGTCTTGCAGCCGTTGAAAAGAAGATTACGGGTTGTGAATTGCTGGTTACCAAAGTAGGCACTGAAATATGTCAGTGAAGTGTCAGTATGTATATAGCAGGAGTCAACAAACCCAAAGTTTCCTCCACTGAAGTAAAGGTCAGTCATGAAGCCACCGCTTCCATCTTCCATATAAATACCCTTGGCAACTTGTCAGTTGAGCTCTGTATAAAAACCTCACACGTATCATAGGAAGTCTACCTGTTGAGTCGTGCCAGATTTCATGTAGAAGTCAATATTTTGAAGGTCGGTAGCTTGGGCAATTTCCCAATGAATACCACAAACATATGCATTAGGATCAGTATTAGTTATATCGATTACTAAGTTGCGGATAGATCTGTAGAAATTGTTTTGAGGCGTGTACCTATCAACTTCTGTTAGAATTGCCATCGCTCCTGGTAGTGCGGTTAGACCGAATACTCACCACACGGAGCCATCAGTAGCATGTACATCAGAAGAAATCGCTCCCAACCCCACGAAACTCGATGCAGCAAGAATGGTTGGTCTGTTCAATGGCTATTGAAGTCATTAGCATTGAAATTTCAGTTGCAGCCGTCAAGCAGAGAACAAGATTTACTCACATTGCCAAGTAATTGGGTGTTGTAGTACTGCGTGATGGAACCACTAATGAGATAAGTGCCAGAAGGGAAATATACAACAGCTGGGAGAATTGTGCTAGAACCGCATGCCTGACCGCAACGGGATCCTGACGAGATGGCAGAATTTATTGCAGCCGTGTCGTCGTGAACCCCGTCACCGACAGCCCCGTAGTCCTTGACGTTTCTGAAGACCTATTTCTGTCAGTTGCGACGAGATAACGTTTCGGTAGAAAGACTCACGACGTAGTCTGATGGGGCCAAAGGGCTACGTCCATTCATGCTCATATTTTCCATCCAGAATGCAGAAGCCCGCGTTTCGAGGCTGCCGCTGTCCCTTGCAGAGTGGCTTGCTGTGTCCGCATCGCTTCTCTTTGGCCAGTACTGCGCTTTGAGCTTTGCTGCCTTCGCCACACTGTCAATGGTCGCGCCCCTTGTATGGCTGCGAGACTCGGCAAGGGACTTTGCAGCGGTGATGACGCTCTCGGGAATGACATAGTCAATCGAAGACGCATTGCTGCGAGCCTCAAATGAGCTGCTCGATCTCTGGACGTTCGCGGCACTTTCGAAAGCGCCTTGGCGGTATCCGGATTTGTCGCGCCTTGGGTTTTCCACACGAAGTTTATTTGCTGCCGCAATACCTTTCAACGCCTCATTCACAAGCGCCTGTGCATCATCGATATTGCTAGTTCCTGCGGTGTTTCGGTGGTTCAGGCTTCGGTGGCTATGGCTCTGTGCAGCAGCAGATGGAATAACGCTTTGGAGAATAACGAATAGGAAAAAAGAAAAGAGCAACGAGCAACGAAGCAGCAAGGTTCGCGACGCCCTTGACGAGGCCATGATCGCCATGACTTGTAACGAACGTATGGGAGACGATGAAGGATTAAAGAATCAATCATCAGCAAAAAAAGGGGTATAGATGGGCTTGACATAGTTAATATTATGGATCCTACCCGCTCTGACACAACTAGGCAACCTTACCTACCAGAGAGTCGAGGGGCATCAAAACAATATAAAATTGTCCAACAGCAGATTAGGTGGATATTTAGCCGTAATTAAACACACGAGCTAGACATCCCCGCCACGATTCTGAAGGCTCTCTCCGCAACAACATCAGAAGCCGAGGAGTTGCTATGGCATTGTTATAATTGAATATTTGATACGTTAATACTAGATATATACTATATTCTAATTTAATTTGAGTTCAATCGGACTAGTATTGCCTTCATAGTATTATTGTCGTGACTTCGATAACTACGAAGTATACGTCAAGACCCCTGAATTCCCCTGGCCTGTTTTAGACTATTGGACATGGGCGCCGCTGCAGACAGACGCACGGGCCACATAGTGGTAGCTCAAGTTCTAGACCGCGAAGCTTGATCCGGATTTTACGGCCTTTCAGTCATGCACTTTTGCTTATCGCGAAGATCCGTGGAGCCTCCCGCTTCCGCCCACCCCGGGGTTTCACTATGATGCAACAGCGACGAGGCACGACGACGACAACACGGCATCGCAACTATAAGCTATGGCGATCTATGAAATCAATTTCCAGGATTTGCATGCCATAAAGTTGCAATTATTCAGGCCCTGTGAATGGCTCTCACCCGATAATAGGGAGGACCCCTTGTTGATTGTGGGCTTCGGTTAACGAGATTCGACAGTGCTAGGGTGAGACAACCAGGTTGGTCACAGTCACACAGGTGGTGTCGAAGTACGTCGCCCCCACCCGGCCCGCCGTCCTACAGGCCACTCAGTGTTCGTAACACATACCCCTTTGCATGATGCCGCCTGTCTATGGACAAGTTCTAGCTTACCCCAATGTTGCGGCGACAAATGCAGCGGCTTCAGCGGCATTGACTCCGTAGCTGGTGTGAGCATTAGGGTCGAAGGGCGCAGTTGAGTGGCATATGACATCGCCAGTAGCCCAGAACTGCTTAACTTTGAAAGTGGCAACGTTGGTAATAGCTTGAGGATTATATAGGTCTCTAAAGACAACCTAAGAATTTTTCAGAAAGTCGCAAAATTGACTATATCGTATGGCGGGCCTCTTACAACTGGTTTGATTTTGCTTGCAACAGACGCAAGATTTGGTCCCGCGAGATGGATGAGTTGAGCGACTCGATCCCTACGTCCACCATAGACTTCCGTCTAGGAGAGTATCCGCTGCCGAGTTCTGGCACGTCAGGATCGTACCATGCTACTATTATTCATATATACGTGCTAGCTATATTTTGGCCTACTGTTTCTGATCTCAAACAGCGTTGTGGCAAATCGAAGCGTCGACAATTGCGGCACCGTACTGATAATCGCTGCCGACCTCGTTACTCAAAGACTTCGAATCCAACCAGGTCTGGGGCCCAAGTTGTCGTCCCAGATGCTCTGAAAACGACCTTGTTGTTTCGTCCTGCCTGAAAACCGTCCACCTCGACAAGCATCCGGCCGCTGTCGTACCAATTCCCCCCGGAGATAGGGAAAGCCCATCGCTTGGCTGTACCTCCGTTCACCGAAATGGTCATGTTCCTCGTGTTCGTGCCGTCGGTCCAGGCGGAACCGAGCGCAACATCATAGTTAATGAAGTCTACTCCAAGGAGTTTCCGCCCGCCGGTAGTTGCGCTGACGCCAGTGAATGTCGCAGCTGCTGCGCTTGACCCTAATCCGATATTGCCGACCTTTGCTTTTGAGGGAAGGCACTGTGTGCTAGAGCATGCAATATGCTTTGCGGCTCCAGAAATGGTGGCATTAGTGGCTGCGTAATAACCTTTGGACTGCTGAACTGTAGTGGATTTTACGATGTCTGAAAGCACCAGCAGCTTCAGTTCATGCGCTGCGAGAGTTGTTGTAAAGGTCCCAGAGAGCACACCAAGGTGCGCAGCAGCCCACACGTCGCGAGCCTTGGCTGATGAGATGCCGAGAACGTCGCCAAGGTCAATAGAAACAGACTGTGACGAATTATGCCAGTTTGCGAGCCCGACAACGATGCGCGAACCCGAAAGCTCGCCTGCCCAGATATCCCATTCCTCTTCAGTGTATCGGCGAATTATCTCGGCCTGTTTTCCTAGAGAGTCTTGGTTGATTGAGATTACCTCTTGGTTTGAAACTATCTGCAAACTTGAGGTCGCTGCGTCGGATATTGGGAGTCCTAGAGTAAGAGGTGACTTATTGATAGCCCACATGCCGAAGTGAAACCTTTCCTCCTCAGCCGAGAGGACGTTTAGTCCCACACTGCTACTGTTAATATAAATGTTAAATCGTGATAGATGAGACGTACATCAGCATGTCCATGTCAGGATATCTGCCTGGTGAGGTGTACTCGTAATATGGGACGACTTGATTCGTAATACGCCAGATACTTGCCCAGTTGTTTGAGATGTCGTTGGAAATTCTCCAAGTAGTGGCGTCAGCGGCCGCCCTTATCTTACGATTAGAAAAATATGATTGCTCTCAGTGCTTAGGATTGACCATACCAAATGCCCAAGTCTGTCCCACATCCCCACTGACAGATTTCATATATGAAGTCGCGATCGGTCTCGTTCAGGGCTTGGGCCATTGCGTCGAAGCGATCCGACGATACCGCTCCTTGTGAGTCGTAGTCCACCATATTTGTTGGTGATACTGAATAGCAATTGTCGTACCTAGTGCAGTAAGAACGGAGTTTACCCTCGAAAAAGCTTATATCTTACTTGAGAAAGTCTCCGCCCCAGCTGGCAAAGGTTTCGGCATCAATAATCTCGTAGCCTGCACAAGAGGCCAAGTTAGTGAGCGGGCCGTAGTCCAAGGTCAACTATGCGTACCAAGCGAAGCGGGAATGTCCGTCGATCCGCACTGGTAATACCCAGCTCCAGAATAGACTCCAAATTTTAGACCTAGGCCGTGCAAGAAATCGCCCAGTTCCTTGCCTCCCGAGGGGAACTTGGACGTATCCCATTGAAGACGCCCCTGCTGATTCCTAGTTGACGATGCCCATCCGCAATCTGTCGTGACATATGTGTACCCAAACTTCGATAGACCAGAGCTGACAAGAGCTTGGGCATTTGTTTTCATAATATCCTCTGTCGGATTGCAGTTGTAGGCGTTATAACTATTCCAGCCCATAGGAGGAGTAGAGGTCCTCACCGTTGTAGATACTGCCAACTGGGCGAGGGCAGTGAGTAGATACACTTGAAAGGTAACCATGATGGATGGCTTCTTCTAGGCAAGTATATGTCTGTCGAATTTCAGGTACTTGATATCTGCTTCGCTGCTAGGCATTCTTGCGTCACATTGATGACTTTATAGGAAGAGAGGGGTAAGATTGTCGATCCATGCGACCTTCCGTTCGTGGGAAATCAGAAGTTCATAGTCCCCACTGGTAGCGGGGCTAGCTTGTCTACGGAAAATAAACATGTCCATTTATCACCTCTTTGAGCCTATATTATAACCTATAGCCCAATAATTTTCCGTAGGATATTCCGAGTACCGAACAGGGATAAGTTCATTAGCTGCGATTATATTACCCCTGCTTATCTGAGTGATTTTTGAGCATTTTCATGATATAGACAGAGGTTCATGACTATTACAGTCAAATACAGACTTCATTACTCTGTAACGAGTATAAACTTAGTCTCTGTCGCTAGTAATTACGCAATAAATGTCGTGAGCTAAGAAGTCGTGATATCAAGATCTATTCGCATATGAGATATAAACGCCAAATCATGCAGTGATTTCCCCACCAGGTAGAATGAGATATTGCTTCTATGAGTCTCTTTGCATTAGTGCATCTCTTTACGGTGTTCTATCCATCTTCTGCAACGAAAGAGAAAGTGCTCGACTGTCTCTCTTGCTTCCCCGCAATCGCATTGATTAGATGGTGCAAACCCCGCAACCAACTACCAACACTACGCAGCTGACCCCCGCCGGGCGCCCCCACTAGCAAACAAAGTGGAATTAGATCTGCAATTACGGTTTGCCTGCCAGAGCACGCCAACACTATCTAAGCTAGGGTATTGAGATTCTTCCAATTAACAATGAGTGCGACAAGTACGACTAGTAGAGGCGTCGGCTTATAGGCCTTAATTAGGTGATGCCGAATGTCACTTACTTAACTGCTAAACGACAGGGATTTAATATCGGATCATTCCTGTAGGGGAGGTTTCCCCGCATGTCGCGTAATATAAACGGATAAAATATATAGAGATACATCCTCCTACCCTATATTATGTCGTAGCTATAGGCGTGGTACTAAGTTAGTACTAGAAAACTAGTCTATATATAGCACTACACAAAAGATGCTATAAATAGCACTAACTTACAACTCTATAGCTATTACTTCTATAGCTTAGCCTATATAGGCAAAGTTATATATAAGAGACTTATATAACGTATTTCACAAGCAAGTGGCCCACACAAGCGAGTGGCCCACGAAAACACTAAAATTGACTATTACTACCTACTACTATACTACTACCCTATATAATAACCATTATTCGATCGTAATTGATTCCTAGCGCCTCTTGCACGTATAGGTATTATGTCCTATTTTCTCACATTAGCTATAGCGCTTCTATTGGCCTTTAGAGCCCACCTGCCGACTACTCTCACTTGCCACCTCCGTTTAGACTTAAGCATCAACCTTAGCACTCTAAAGTATATCCTCTACATCTTGTATAGAGAGGCTTCCCCCTTACATTATACGTCTCTTACGCTTCCTTTCCTCCCTCTTTTTCTGTTCATTTGCTACTTATTGTCACAGGTACGGCAGGAGGCCCGACTCGGGGGCGACGCGGGCCCGAGGACTAGGGCTAGGGGATCGGTGCCTTAGGCATCCCGTGGCAGTCGCGCCCATGCACCTATACGCCCTATGCCCTATAGCTAGTAAGAGGATGGCACGTACCACCGACCCGCCGCCGAGTCGGCGGGGACCCGACTGCGAAGCAGTAGATAACAGTAGCTAAGCCCCCTATAGGGAGGGCTTAGAGATTAGTCTGTTGAATACCATTTCTGTTACCGGAGCCTACAGCCGTAGCACGCTTCCACCAAACCCTTACACTTATAGAGCCTTAACTTCTACCTTTAGTAGAATAGCAGAATGCATCATCATTTCTACCCCTTTAACAAGGTAGCTAATAGCATTATTAATTAAGCTAGGAGAGCTATTCTAATGTTATATAATGTAGTTCTTAATGTGCTCTATTTAAAAGTTAAGCTCCCTTATAGTTTAGAGAGTCTTTAAAGTCTAATTGTCACTCCTAACTATTAGAGGGGTTAGAGTCCTTAAGTATAGATTTAAGTAAGAGAGAACACTCTATAGCTTATATAGAACTAGCCCTATAGCTTAGAATCTACTCTTAATGTTCTGTTCTATAAATATAGCTTTAAATGCTTCTTTAAATGTAGAGAGAAACTTAAGCTTTATAATATAGTTTAGCCTATTCTATATAAAGGTTTTAATCTAACGTTTATATAAAAGCTTTAGTAGAGTAAAGCAGCTTACGTTAAGTAGCTAAAGAATATATAAGGAGTATAGTAGCATATAGAGGGTAATTATCTTCTATTCTATGTAGTAGTACTAAAATTAAGCTAAGAGGTAGCTCTTATGTCCGTTAAGAATAAGAAGGCAATAGGTTCTAATTATATAAGTGCTTATATGTTAACTAAAGTGTTAAATCCACTTATACCTAATTAAATTTAAAGTCTACCTATTCTTACTTAGTGTAATTACCTAATTGTCTAGTAATTCTAAGTCCTTATACTAAGTAGAGAGGTAATTCTATGCCTTAAAAATAATGAACGGTAAGAGTGCCTATCTATATAAATTAACACCTTAGATAATTAACACCTACTCTCTATTCCCTAGCTATATAGTCTTTAGATAGCTCTTTACTTCTAAGCTTATAACTACCTTTATAGTAGTAATAACTCCTATTATAAAACCTACTTTATTAAAGCTATAGATATTCTACTCTAAGATTCTATATTTTATAACTATGTTTTATATAAGGGAGAACTACCCTTTAATTATCTTTAGATCTTTACATTTTACTCGTTTATAATTGTACTTCTAACTAAACTTTACTTTAATTTCTATATAACGCTTAATAAAGTTACTAGTCTAGTTCTTCCTAATAGGGCTCTTACCTTGTTTAGAGAGTAGAAGGTTAGCCATTTCTTATATAGCTTATAGCTAGGGTAGAAATCTATATAAATCTAGGTTAAGGATATATTAAACGAGAGCTAACTCTTTATATAGAGTTAAATTCTATAAACTAGAGGTAGAGTTGCATCTAGAAGTCATTCCTTTAATTCGTTAACGTAGTGTCATTTAAGGTATATTATATAATGCTATAGCTACTTAAACACTACAAAACTAGCCTTGTTTAATTACACTAATAGCTAATAGTATTCTACCCTCCTAATTAGAGGATTAGGCTTATGTTAGTTGTGTTATATTAACTTCTATTAAGTTAACGCGTTTTAGTGTTTTTATAGGCTACTTACTTATATAGGCTACTTGCTTATAAAATACGTTAGTAATAGATATAATAATATAACGTATTTCACATACGAGTGGCGCACACAAACGAGTGGCGCACTAAAACACTAAAATGTGACTATTACTACTACTATACTACTACTACCCTACATAATGACCCTTATTCCATTACAATTGATTCCTAGCGCCTCTTGTACGTACGAGCATTATGCCCTATATTACCACATGTGCTACATTACTGCTATCAGCCTATAGAACCCTCCTGCTAAGTAGTCTTACTTACTACCTCTATATAGACTTAAGCATTAACCTTAGTACTCTAAAGTATATCCTCTACATCTCGTACAGAGAGACTACCCCCTTGCATTATACGCCTCTTACGCTTCCTTTCCCTCCTCTTTTTCTGTTCATTTGCAGCCTATAGAGCCTTAACTTCTACCTTAAGTAGAATAGCAGAATGCATTATCATTTCTACCCCTTTAACAAGGCAGCTAACAGCATCATTAATTAAGGTAGGAGAGCTGTTCTAATGTTGTATAATGTAGTTCTTAATGTGCTCTGTTTAAAAGTTAAGCTCCCTTATAGTTTAAGGAGTCTTTAAGGTCTAGTTGTTACTCTTAACTATAGGAGGGGTTAGAGTCCTTAAGTGTAGATTTAAGTAAGAGAGGACATTCTACAGCTTGTATGGAACTAGCCCTATAGCTTAGAATCCGCTCTTAATGTTCTGCTCTATAAATGTAGCTTTAAATGCTTCTTTAAATGTAGAGAGGAACTTAAGCTTTATGATATGGTTTAGCCTATTTATAACGCTAGGTCTTAAACTATAAGACTTATAGAGGTTTCGTTGCGTTAGTTTACTTAATAGAGGAGGCAGGGGATTAGACACAAAGGCTTTTGTAAAACACATTATAGTATATAACAAATACTATATTGAGTTGAGCACGAAGCTCCTATCTAAGAACTATCTATCTACTTATATAGTAGCGTTGTGCTAAAGGGGACTATAAGGAACTGTAGGAACTGTAAGAGTTCTAGCAGTTCTTATAGTTCCATTACGTAAGTGCTATTCTAGTACCTATGCTGCTTCTAGTACCTGCAACTCTAGTACCTCCTAATTCCTAGGTGCCTAACTGTCTTCTAGTACCTGTAAACCTAGGTACTAGACACTTATTAAGTGCCTAATAACTAACCCTGCTTTAAGAGCGGCTAAATCGCTAACATGTGCATTGCTACTATACTTAGGGTGTCGGCGATAGTGTTGCTAAAAACCCTAGCTGTAACACTAGGTCCCTCCCTAAGAGGCCTAGTCCCTAGGACTCGCTAACTAAGAAAGTTGCTAACTACTTAAGTAGGGTGATGCCTACTACTATCTATGGGGCAGGTTAGGCTGCGACTATGTCTTCTTCTAAACATACTAAAATTAAAGAACGTTATCTCCTTACTCTCTATGTTGCTGCCACTAGGGTCGAAATGTCCCTATGTACTTAATGTGAACGTCGTGAAACGAAATGCGTTATGTCTAGCGATTCTAGACGATGCGCTAAATGCATAAAATCAAACGTTAAGTGTAACGCCGCTAGTCCTTCTCTTAGAGATTAGGAACGCCTCTAGCGTAAAGAGGAACGCTTGTTGCAAGAGATAGAGCTTGCCATTTCCTAGGCCTAAGAGGCTATAGCAAAGCAGCTCTGCGTCTCTAAGCAACAAC